TCAAACTTCTTCAGAGAGAGGACTGACTGTATGGAGGTTTTCAGATTTCTTAAATTGCATGAGATTCTCTTTATACTAGCAACTTCAATTTAAACCTTGTCCTCAAGACAAGGAAAAAATAATGAAGCTGGCAAGAGGGAAAAAACAGATAACATTCAAAGGAAAGCCAATCAGGCTGACATCAGACTTCTCTGAAGAAACACTACAGTCAAGGAGAGAGTGGAGGGACATAGTCAACAGACTCCAGGAAAACAGATGCCAGCCAAGAATACTCTATCCCGCAAAGCTCTCCCTCCTTTTGAAGAAAGAGTATGGACCTTCCCAGACAAACAGAAACTCCGGAATTTCATTACAACTAAACCCCCACTCCAAAAATTCTACAAGGAGTCCTAAAGCCAGAACCTCAGAGGGGCGAATAACAATGAAAGAAGGCCAAAAAAAAAAAGTTATTAAAAGAATAATTAAATAAAATCAAAGGAAAGACAAACACAATGACAAATACAGATGCTAACATATCAATATTAACTCTAAATGTAAATGGACTAAACTCTTCAATAAAAAGACACAGAGTTGCAGCCTGGATTAAGAAACAAAACCCAACCTTTTGCTGTCTCCAGGAAACACATTTAGCTACAAAAGATAAAAATACGGTCAAAGTTAAAGGATGGAAAACAATCCTACAAGCAAATGGACCAAAAAAGAAAGCAGGAACAGCTATACTTATATCAGATAAAACAGATTTCAAACTCAAAAGATAAAAAGAGACCCCAATGGTCACTACATTATGATCAAGGGGACAATACTTCAAGAAGAAATAACACTCATTAACATATACTCACCAAACGAAGGAGCACCAAAATATATCAGACAACTGTTGTCCTCTCTGAAAACAGACATCGGAGAAAACACATACGTAGTGGGAGACTTCAACACACCACTATCAACAATGGATAGATCAACAAGACAAAAAATAAGTAAAGAAACCAAAGCTCTAAATAAGGACCTAGAGCATTTGGGCTTAACAGACATCTATAGAACACTAAACCCCAAAAAAACAGAGTACACATTTTTCTCAAGCGCACACGGATCATTCTCCAGGATCGATCACATACTGGGGCACAAGACAAATATCAACAGATACACCAAGATTGAAATCATATCAACCATCTTTTCTGACCATGAAGGCATCAAACTAGAAATAAACCATAAAAAGAAGGCAAGGAACTTTCCTACCTCATGGAGATTAAGAACCACACTACTGGAAGACCACTGGACTAATGAGGAGATAAAAGAAGAAATTAAAAAATTCTTTGAATTGAACGACAAGGAGGACACCAATATCCTAAATGTATGGGATGCAGCAAAAGCAGTAATAAGAGGAAAATATATAGCAATAGAAGCTCACATCAAGAAACAAGAAAGAACTCAAAGAAGCAACCTAATCTCGAAGCTCAAAGATCTAGAAAAAGAACAACAAAAAACCCCAAAACCAGTAGAAGAAAAGAAATAATAAAAACCAAAGCAGAAATAAATGAAATTGAAACTAAAAAAACAATCCAAAAGATCAATGAAACCAAGAGCTGGTTCTTTGAAAAAATAAATAAAATAGACAAACCCCTAGCCAGGCTCACAAAGGAAAAAAGGGAGAAAGCACAAATAAACAGGATCATCAATGAAAGAGGAGAAATCACAACGGACACAGCAGAAATCAAAAGAATAATCAGTAACTACTATGAAGATTTATATGGAAACAAGTTTAACAATCTAGAGAGATGGACAAATTCCTACAACTCTACAATCACCCAAAGCTAGATAAAGAAGAAATAGAACACCTAAACAGACCAATCACAAGCAGCGAAATTGAAATGGTAATCAAAAATCTCCCCAAAAACAAAAGCCCAGGACCTGATGGATTTACAAATGAATTCTACCAAACAATCAGAGATGAATTAGTGCCTATCCTTCACAAACTCTTCCAAAAAATTGAGAAGGAAGGGATAATACCAAACACGTTCTATGAAGCCAACATTACACTAATACCAAAACCGAACAAGGACAACACAAAAAAGGAAAACTACAGGCCAATCTCCCTAATGAACACTGATGCAAAAATCCTCAATAAAATTTTAGCTATCAGAATCCAACAATGTATCCATAAGATAATTCACCACGACCAAGTAGGATTCATTCCTGGAACACAAGGATGGTTTAACATCCGAAAATCAATCAACGTTATCCAACACATCAACAAAAAGAAATATAAAAACCATATGACAATATCAATAGATGCTGAGAAAGCTTTCGACAAAGTGCAACACCCATTCATGATAAAAGCCCTTGAAATTCTTGGGATACAAGGAACATACCTCAACATCATAAAGGCCATCTATGACAAGCCAACAGCCAGTATTATTCTCAATGGTGAAAAGCTGAAAGCAATTCCATTAAGATCTGGAACAAGACAAGGATGTCCACTCTCACCACTGCTTTTCAATATAATACTGGAAGTCCTAGCCAGAGCAATAAGACAAGAGAAAGACATCCAAGGAATCCAAATAGGAAAAGAAGAAGTCAAACTATCACTATTTGCAGATGATATGATAATATACATAGAGAACCCCAAAAACTCCAGAAAAACTAATTCAACTCATCAATCAGTTCAGTAAAGTGGCAGGATACAAAATCAACACGCAAAAGTCAGTAGCCTTCCTATACACAAACAAAAAATCTGAAGAAGAAGAAATCAAAAAAAACATCCCTTTTTTATCGAAACAAAAAAATCAAATATTTGGGAATAAATCTAACAAAAGAGGTAAAGGACCTATACAAAGAAAACTATAAAACACTGTTAAAAGAAATAGAAGAAGACACAAAGAAATGGAAAGACATCCCCTGCTCATGGATTGGAAGAATAAACATTATTAAAATGGCCATCCTACCAAAAGCAATATACAGATTCAATGCTATTCCAATCAAAATTTCAATGTCATTCTTCAAAGAAATAGAACAATTATTGATGAAATCATATGGAATCACAAAAAACCTCGAATAGCCAAAGCTCTCCTGAAAAAAAAGAAGGGAATGGAGGCATCACACTCCCAGACTTCAAACTATACTACAAAGCCATAATCATCAAAACTGCATGGTATTGGAACAAGAACAGACATACAGACCAATGGAATCGAATAGAAAATCCAGAAATAAACCCACAGATTTATGGTCAACTAATCTTTGACAAAGGAGCAAAGACTATGCATTGGAGCAAAGAGAGTTTGTTCAATAAATGGTGCTGGGAAAACTGGGTCGCTACATGCAAAAGAATGAAGCTTGACCACTACCTCACACCATACACAAAAATCAACTCAAAATGGATTAAAGAACTAGACATAAGACCTGAAACCATAAAATATATAGAAGGAAATATAGGCGAAACGCTACGTGATTTGCACATAAAAGACATCTTTACAGACTCTTCACCCAAAGCAGTGAGAGTGAAGGCAAAGATAAACAGCTGGGACTACATCAAATTAAAGAGCTTCTGCACAGCAAAGAGACAATAACAAAAATTAAGAGAAACCCACCAACTGGGAGAACATTTTTGCACCCAACACTAATGATAAAGGACTGATCACAAAAATCTGCAAAGAGCTGATGAGACTCAGCAACAACAAAGAAAATAATCCAGTCAAAAAATGGGCAGAAGAGCTAAAAAGAAACTTCTCTGAAGAGGAAATGCAAATGGCCAACAGGCATATGAAAAAAATGTTCAACATCACTTGTCATCAGGGAAATGCAAATCAAAACTACCATGAGATACCATCTTACACCAGTGAGAATGGCACATATTAAAAAAACTAGCAACAACAAATGTTGGCGAGGGTGTGGAGAAAAAGGAACTCTCCTGCACTGCTGGTGGGAGTGCAAACTGGTCCAACCACTATGGAGAGCTGTGTGGAGATTTCTGGGCCTACTAAACATAGAGCTGCCATATGATCCAGCAATTCCACTCCTAGGTATTTACCCAAAGGACACAGAAACATCAATTCCAAAGAACACCTGCACCCTATGCTTATTGCAGCACTGTTTACAATAGCTAAGCTTTGGAAACAGCCCAAATGCCCAAAAATAGATGACTGGATCAAGAAGATGTGGTACATATATACCATGGAATATTACTCAGCATTCAAAAAGATAACACATGCAATTTGCAGCAACATGGATGGCGCTGGAAGGGATCATGCTCAGCGAAATAAGCCAAAAGAAAAAGAAAAATACCGGATGGTCTCACTCATAGCAGGAATCTAGAAAACTTAAATAAGGGACCAGGAAATGAATAACTATAAGAAAGTGAAAATCAAAATCAACAAAAACTATGACCAGAGACACTTTTTGGGGGCGGGGGTGGGAGGGGAGGGATTGGGGTCAGAATGGGGGGCTGCAATTGTAATGGGGAATATAAAAATAAAATTTATTATTTAAAAAAAAATAAAAAGATAAGAAAAAAAAATAAACCTTGTCCTCAAGAGCCTTACTTTTCATCTCACTTGTAATTCATTTTGACAACTAGTGGTGACATCTGTGAAAAGGAAGCTGTTAAGCAAGTAGGGCTGGTTGGTCTTTGTCACTATACAACACACTGTATAGTGCTCCCCCAATAGCAAGAAAAGCTCTTATTTATATTTTGTTCATTTGGGGTAGCAATCAAGAATGCTTTAATGAATAGAAAGGCAAGGAGGACAATAATATTATTTTCTTTGTTTCTCATCTTAAATAATGACACAACAGGTGGAGTAGAGTCTGAAGGAAAGAGATATCTTGCCCCTCCCTTTAGTGAATACACAGTGCTGCCCCCAAACCTACCACCATCATTGATTAATAGAAAAAAAAAAACCTAAAAACACAAAAGTAGTTTAAAACTGTTGGTGGATGAGTTGGATAATTTAACAAAAGAGACACTGACAAAATTTTTTTTGTAATACTATAATTATAAAGTTGAAGGCACATCCTTGTCAGAAATAAGATTACATGCTTAAGGAAAAAACAAATTACTGAATATCTTGACTAAAGTAGACAACTGCTATAAAATATTTCAGTACTAAAAAAATCAATGTTTAACAATCTTTAGTTAAACGTCTCTTTAAAAACATAAGGTTGAGATACCTGATTTTGGCTACAAAAGGCATTATTATCAATGCTATTACAGATGTTCTTTTAATTGAATAATTCATGCATTTGGGCTGTATCTGTTTACTCACACCAGATAAACTTTCACAGGAGCTACAAAAAGTTAGTGTAAAAGTAGCTAATAATTTAGCATGAGCCTAAATTTTTTAACATTTGGTAAAATAACATTTTTAATATAGAAAAATAAGAAATGAAAAATTCGAAGGGAGTGATTCCAGGAGTGTTTTTATTCTTATTAAAATAACCAGTTATCAGATACCTCACCCCCCTAAATAATAAAAGAATAAAATAAATATTAATAAAAATAATTTTAAAGCAAGATTCACAAGTAATGGAACAAATCTCAACATAAATTCTTGATTTTAAGCTGTGTACAGAAAAGATAGGCATTGCTTAAATTTTTGGAAACATCTAGAGTGCTATTTTAAGAATTCTGAACAAAGAATACATGCAAAGAAAATAAATTTTTTAAATTAAAGCACAACATAAAAAATTATCTGTGCACAAGGCATCAAACCATCTAAAATGTTGATGCTAAGCTAGGAAAAATAACATTTATCTTTTCACAACTGAGAACCATACTTCTTTAGTCTACAACATTAAATACTCTAGTTTCAGTTTATATCTTTGAAATTCAAAATGCATCTTTGGATATTAAGTTAAAAGGTACCCATAATAGAGTCTGAACCTGCACTGGATATGAAAACATCCTTATTATCCTTAGACTGAGGGCATGATTGTTGAGTAAATGCAGAGAGTGATAAAGAAACAACAAATAAAAAACTTCAAATGTTCAAATATCAAATTTAAATATAAAATCATTATTTTTATGTGGTTTGTGTGTATGTATATGACGAACACACATACATATACACATTCATAAAATTTGTTCTGACTAGTTATTTAAAGCCAGTAACTAACTGAAAGCAATGTTTTTGATCCCTTGTATATATATCACCTCTCTCTCGTGAATACAGCTGCTCTATGAAGCTAAAGGAAATTCAAGATTGCAAAAGAATCTTGTGGTAGAGAATTCAAGTGGAGCTACAAACATTTAAAGCATCAAAACAGCATGTTTTCTGTTTTTGTAGTATTTGTGGTAGAGAATTCAAGTGGAGCTACAAACATTTAAAGCATCAAAACAGCATGTTTTCTGTTTTTGTAGTACAGGGCGAAAATGTTGTTGAGTATTTCCAGATTATAGGCTGCTTGTCCCTCTGTTCTATAACATGTGGGTCCTCTGGCATGTGGGGCAATAGAAAAAAAATCAAACAAACATATAATAATAAAAGATAACTGGCTATGTTCAAGTACTTCAAAAAGAGAAAGAGTGGAGGGTAGGAGTGGACAGGGAGGTGGCTATTTATGCAAAAGTCTGTTATATAATTGTCATATTAGCTGTTTCTTCTGGAAGAAACAAGTTGTGGCATGCTGAGCAACTGTAGTTAAAACAAGAAAGAAATATTAACATTCAAAATGGAAGCATGAGAAATGGCATATGTATGGGCTGAAAAAGAGCATAGACACATAAACTAATTCATATTTTATAATATGGGCTTGCCTTTCTAGCTTCAGTTCACTTTTTAACATAGCTGAAATAAAATTAGATCTTGCAAATCTGAAAGTATAACATTGAATAATAATGTTGTAAACTTTTTAGTGTGCGTATGAGTGGATCAAAGAGAAGAATGGTAGGAGAGGGAGAAACACATCCGCCACTTCTACCTGATTGTAGACTGTTTTATAAAAATGATTTTTAATATTTATTACTGACCTCAAGAGGAGAAAAGAACTAACACTACAAACACTATGTACTAAGCATTGTGCTAGCAGCTTTATGTATGTCAATTACATAAATGGGAACAAAATATTAGGAATTTATTTATGAGTTCTCTTCCCTTAAACTTTCCACATGTGTAATTCATCTTGCAATTCTCAAGAACATTTAAATAGTGACTCAAGTACCAGATCTCTGACTAATGTATTAACTCACAGAGGAATTTCTCAATTTATATGGCAATATGAACAAGCCCCTAATTTTGCCAATCACATTAACTAACAAGTGCATATGTTTCAAACTGGAGAAAAGCACAGATCTCATTAAAAGTTATGGAAATCTGGGAAATTTCTCATTTGTATATTATAATTTATTGTGTTTTTTTTTTTGGTAAAAGCAGCTTTGTATCATAGCATTATTTTAGTCATTTTGAGGGGTTATTTAAAAACAGTTGAAGATAATTAAGTTATATATACAAGCAAAGGACTTGTCTTCAAAAAGGGACAAATTCAGTGAATCCAGGTAATTTTATATGTACTATATATGTTAAAGAAGTAGTGTTAATATTTGGAAAAAATCAATTATGGAAGAAGCTCAAAATATTAAGTTTCTGGAATGAGGTTGCTAGACTACATTAAGAATGACTTATAGCTGTACTCAGCAGGAATTAATTGAAAACTTGCACAGAGCTAGGGAGTTACTGAAAGAAGAATCTGGTATGTTTTTTATATCAATGGAAAGATGGGATGCAGGGAACCATAAAGACCTATAAGGTTTTCTGAGCTATAAGATAAAGAACAAGATAATGGGAAAGTTGTGATTTATTTTTATCAATGAAAAACTATCAATACTTGGTTCACTTGAAAGATGATAACAAAAGAAAACACACTGGATCATCTAAGAAAGCAACAGCAAGGACAAAGATGCAGGAAGAACAAAGGGGGAAAGAAAGCCTGCAATAAATAAGGCACATCTATTTGTAAACAGTTTCAACTGTTTTCTTTCTAAAACTAGATATTTTATACAGTGCTTTGAAAGTCCTTGCTCCCCAATCTGGTAGGGATAAGGACTCAAGAATCTCCTCAAGGTCATGCTCTCAAAATTTTAAGTTTTTAATTATCTTCATGAGTTTTTATTTTTCTTCTTAGTCAAATTAAAAAAATACCTATCACTTTAGCAGCAATTCAGCAATCTCAATTCTAGGGCTTTCTATAAACCTCACTGCCCTAACTAAGCTGTTACTAGTGAAAAAAATACTGGAGTTCATTTTAAATAAAGCTAGGTTCAGAGCTGAGGTTCTGAAAAAGTTTTGCCATAAGACAAATGCAACTTAAATAGAATCCCTAATATATGAGCATGAGACCAACATAAAATCCGACAATATTCTGAAACACTAACATGACGTCATGAATGCTATATCAGTGCATAACATCAGTTAGTAGCACACTCTCTCTATGGCCTGTTACAATGTGGTGTCATCATCTTCCCTGAAGTCTCCCACCAGGAGAGAGTGCTTGTCAGGTTCACTGGTACCAACGCTGTTTAGGGACCGCTTATCAGACAGTAGTGAATTTATGGAGGCTCTGCTATAATTAACAATCCGGTCCAATAAACCCAGTTTAGGAGAATTTCTTGAGGTGTCATCTATTCCAACATGAACGCTGATTTCTGAAGGACTTTTCTGTCCCATCTGGCTTCGGGCATGCAGTTCGTAATTCTCATAATTTGGTTTCCTATAACTGAACACATGGAAAAGTACACTAGTTTGAAATAATCAACTATAACTAGAAGCTTGTTATATTCAAAAAGGGAAGGAAATCTGTCTAGTATGAAATGTACAAAGGCAGTTCCTGCTAGAAAAGTAGCTTAAAAATAATTGCTTGGAGTCACATGCTCGGAAATCCTACTTGTCACAGTCAATGTACTAAATTTTACCCCGCCCAAGTGCTTGTGGTTGTTACATATGACTATGTAAGGTCACAAACACATAGCTAACATTTATTAAGAATATTTTGGGCCTATCATTGATCAATACAGGAATAAAACTCACCAACCCTGACTGTGGATGATAAAAGCAATATAAAAATAGAAACAAGACTCTCTGCCAGGATCTTGGAAGGGATGGTGATTTTTGTCATTCCCTCCCCCCCCAAGCCCCCTGCCCCTGACCCACCCAGCCTCCTTGGTGGGCTGCCTGGACTGAGGGAGGTGGACTCATATCTCATCTGTCTTGAGTGAAGGTATCAAACCTTGACAGTTAATAAAGGATTTTAATTAAAAAAATACAAACATGAGCAAACCATCATACTTACAGTTTAAGAAAGAGAGAAGAAAGTACTACTGAAACAGAGGAAGCAGCCATTGCAGCAGATCCCATCCAGGGTTGCAAAACCAGCCCAATTGGCATAAAAACTCCTAGAAAGTGAGTTTAGATTAGTTAGAACAGGCAGTACTAAACAAATTACCAATGTGTTTCTAATATGTATATACATATCATTTCCTTGTTTGATATATATTCACATTTATCTTCTTATGGGTAGAGATTTACGTCACTGCCAATTATCACCAATAGAGTGCTGCTATGAACATTCTTGCATGGCTTCCTGTACATGTGTTTGAAAATTTCTCTGGGGTATATACCTAGAGGTGAAACTGCTGGGCTGTAACACGGTCACATCTTCAACTTGAGGTGGATATTCTTCAATTACTCTCCAAAGTGACTGTTACCAGGTCATAATCCCATCAATAGTATATGCAGATTCATGTTCATTCACACTTGGTTTTGACTTTTTTTTACAAGATGTATTTATTTATACAAGAACCAGGGTACAGACCAGATTCGCCGGAGGGTGAGAGGATTCACCAGAGACAGAGCAGGGAACAGAACAGGCAGAATGATGAAATACACTGCTGAGGGGAGCAGTGGGCGTGACAGGAGAGGTCCACAGTGCCATGTGGGGCCCATGCAGGCCGGCCGGCCGGGATCAAACCTGCGCTGCAGAGGCTGTGGACAGCTTCACAGTGCTGCGCTCAACTGCCTGCACCACCAGGAGAGGCCCCGGTTTTGATATTTTAATAGCCGCTGATTTATAAGAAATGATAGACTTATTATACTTTTAAATTTTTATGTGCTTATTTATATGCTTCTACTTTTTCTACAATGATCATATATTGCTTGCATGATTTTTATTTATTTTTTAAAGATTTATTTATTTATGCATATAAGGCTGGGGTACAGGTCAGAGGTGCAGGGGGTGAGAGGATTCACCAGAGACAGAGTAGGGAGCAGAACAGGCAGACTGACTGAAACACACTGCTGAGGGGAGCAGCGGGCAAGTCAGGAGAGGTCTGCTGCGCCATGTGGGTAGTTCCCTGGCCGGGGATCGAACTTGTGCTGCAGTGGCTGCAGACAGGTTGCATCTTAACCCCTTGTGCCACCAGGGAGGCCCTGCTTGCATAATTTTTAAAAATCACTTGCTACATGAATTAATCTCTCTGGACTTTGTTTATTCTGGTACTCTTTATCCTCACAACATTTGTGAGAATTTGCTGATAAAATAGCATGGTAATTGTTCTCACATTATTTTATGTCTTTCTTTGGCTCTCAAACCAAAGAAAACAAGGAGTAAGTGGCAATGATTTCTCTTATATCATTATTACTGCCTACTGAGCCCTAAATACAGAGATTCTCAGATGCTTGTTAAACAATTCAAAATTTCCTTTTCTTGATCATATTTCTTCATTCAAGATCTCTTTTTCTCTGTCTCTCTCTCTCTCTCCCCCCCTCCTCCCTCCCTCCCTCTTTCTCTGGTCACCAAAGTAAAAAGAGTAGAAAATTCTCTGTACACTATAATTACAACTATGTAATAAAACAAAAAGTGATATAGGGTTAAAAAGACCGAAAGGAGCAAATTTCAATTCCAGAAGAAAAAAGACTGCAAGGAAACATAGTAAAATTTAGCTAATAGCAATTGTATTTGGATAGTGTGATTAAAGGTAAATTTGGGGGCTTCCCCAGTGGCTCAGGGGGTTGAGTGCAGCACTGTGAAGCTGTCCGCAGCCTCTGCAGTGCTAGTTTGACTCCTGGCCCACCAGGGAGATTCCCACATGGCGCGCAGACCTCTCCTGCCTTATCCGCTGTTCCCCTCAGCAATGTATTTTGGTCCTTCTGCCTGTTCTGCTCCCTGCTCTGGCTCTGGTGAATTCTCTCACCCTCCCGCGTCTCTGGCCTGTACCCCAGTGCTTGTATAGATAAATAAAATCTTAAAAAAAAAGTAGTTTAAAAAATAAATAAAAATAAAGGTAAATTTGGTCTCTTCAGCAAAAAAGTAAAGACTAAATAAATATTTGTGTAAGAGTATATAAAGAGAAACAAAGCAACATGGCAAAATATTATTAGTGAACTTAGGTGAAAGATACACAGATTTCAATATACCACTTTTTCAACATTTATTTAGGTTTCAAAGTGTTCCAAATATAAAATTGGAAGAAAAAATAAAGTAAAATACATTCTTAAGCTTAATGAACATTGATGAAAATCAGTATTATTTATTTTAATATTACTTCTTGCCATACCAACAGGCTATAAACAAAAACAACTCAAAATTTATTAGAAGACTAAAACTTCTAATATGGTTTGTTTCTAATAACTTCAAAGGAAAAAAACAATCCTACTTAACATTCACATACCAGCAGCTATGGGGATTCCAATCAGATTATAAATTAGAGCAAAGACAAAATTTATCCGAATCCTCTTGACTGTCTTCCTTGATAAATCAATACTTGCCACTACGTCCAGAAGATCATTCTGAGAAAAGAAATATTTGTGATATTAGTGAGCTACTCTAATTTAACTAGTAACTTTTACATTTGATATTTTGTGTATTGAAGATAATGATTACCTTTGGGTAACCTGTGAATTAAATACAAATACCAAAACCGAACAAGGACAACACAAAAAAGGAAAACTACAGGCCAATCTCCCTAATGAACACTGATGCAAAAATCCTCAATAAAATTTTAGCTATCAGAATCCAACAATGTATCCATAAGATAATTCACCACGACCAAGTAGGATTCATTCCAGGGACACAAGGACGGTTTAACATCAGAAAATCAATCAACGTTATCCAACACATCAACAAAAAGAAATATAAAAACCATATGATAATATCAATAGATGCTGAGAAAGCTTTCGACAAAGTGCAACACCCATTCATGATAAAAGCCCTTGAAATTCTTGGGATACAAGGAACATACCTCAACATCATAAAGGCCATCTATGACAAGCCAACAGCCAGTATCATTCTCAATGGTGAAAAGCTGAAAGCAATTCCATTAAGATCTGGAACAAGACAAGGATGTCCACTCTCACCACTGCTTTTCAATATAATACTGGAAGTCCTAGCCAGGGCAATAAGACAAGAGAAAGACATCCAAGGAATCCAAATAGGAAAAGAAGAAGTCAAACTATCACTATTTGCAGACGATATGATATTATACATAGAGAACCCCAAAAACTCCACAGAAAAGCTAATTCAACTCATCAATCAGTTCAGTAAAGTGGCAGGATACAAAATCAAAACGCAAAAGTCAGTAGCCTTCCTATACATAAACAAAAAATCTGAAGAAGAAGAAATCAAAAAAACCATCCCTTTTGTTATTGAAACAAAAAAAATCAAATATTTGGGAATAAATCTAACAAAAGAGGTAAAGGACCTATACAAAGAAAACTATCAAACACTGTTAAAAGAAATAGAAGAAGACACAAAGAAATGGAGAGACATCCCCTGCTCATGGATTGGAAGAATAAACATTATTAAAATGGCCATCCTACCAAAAGCAATATACAGATTCAATGCTATTCCAATCAAAATTTCAATGTCATTCTTCAAAGAAATAGAACAATTATTGATGAAATTCATATGGAATCACAAAAAACCCAATAGCCAAAGCTTTCCTGAAAAAAAAAAGAAGGGAATGGAGGCATCACACTCCCAGACTTCAAACACTACTACAAAGCCATAATCATCAAAACTGCATGGTATTGGAACAAGAACAGACATACAGACCAATGGAATCGAATAGAAAATCCAGAAATAAACCCACAGATTTATGGTCAACTAATCTTTGACAAAGGAGCAAAGACTATGCATTGGAGCAAAGAAAGTTTGTTCAATAAATGGTGCTGGGAAAACTGGGTCGCTACATGCAAAAGAATGAAGCTTGACCACTACCTCACACCATACACAAAAATCAACTCAAAATGGATTAAAGAACTAGACATAAGACCTGAAACCATAAAATATATAGAAGGAAATAAAGGCGAAACACTACGTGATTTGCACATCAAAGACATCTTTACAGACACATCACCCAAAGCAGTGATAGTGAAGGCGAAGATAAATAGATGGGACTACATCAAATTAAAGAGCTTCTGCACAGCAAAAGAGACAATAACAAAAACAAAGAGAAACCCCACCAACTGGGAGAACATTTTTGCACCCAACACTAATGATAAAGGACTGATCACAAAAATCTGCAAAGAGCTGATGAGACTCAACAACAACAAAGAAAATAATCCAGTCAAAAAATGGGCAGAAGAGCTAAAAAGAAACTTCTCAGAAGAGGAAATGCAAATGGCCAACAGGCATATGAAAAAATGTTCAACATCACTTGTAATCAGGGAAATGCAAATCAAAACTACCATGAGATACCATCTTACGCCAGTGAGAATGGCACATATTAAAAAACTAGCAACAACAAATGTTGGCGAGGGTGTGGAGAAAAAGGAACTCTTCTGCACTGTTGGTGGGAGTGCAAACTGGTCCAACCACTGTGGAGAGCTGTGTGGAGATTTCTGGACCTACTAAACATAGAGCTTCCATATGATCCAGCAATTCCACTCCTAGGAATTTACCCAAAGGACACAGAAACATCAATTCCAAAGAACACCTGCACCTCTATGTTTATAGCAGCACTGTTTACAATAGCTAAGCTTTGGAAACAACCCAAATGCCCCAAATAGATGACTGGATCAAGAAGATGTGGTACATATATACCATGGAATATTACTCAGCATTCAAAAAAGATAAACACATGCAATTTGCAGCAACATGGATGGCGCTGGAAGGGATCATGCTCAGCGAAATAAGCCAAAAAGAAAAAGAAAAATACCGGATGGTCTCACTCATAGCAGGAATCTAGAAAACTTAAATAAGGGACCAGGAAATGAATAACTATAAGAAAGTGAAATCAAAATCAGCAAAAAACTATGAACCAGAGACACTTTTAGGGGGGCGGGGCGGGAGGGGAGGGATTGGGGTCAGAATGGGGGGGCTGCAATTGTATGGGGAATATAACAATAAAATTTATTATCTAATAAAAAAAATAAATAAATACAAATATCAGATATTTAAAAATTTGAGCTAGCCTTAGATGTTCTTCAGGAATTTTTCTCAGGGTTCTGAAGAACCTTTCATGGATGTATGCTGGTACAGGGATTAAATCTCCTTAAAATAACATTAGCAAGTATTTGTTGAAAGTAATTTCAAGTATATTCTCAAGTCTTAGTCTTCACTTTAGAAGCCTGGATTTCTTATTTGCTTTACTGAATTGAATAAGTCAGGAAATAATTAGTAAGACATTTTATACTCCCATCTCTAGTACTCCCATTCTCAATGGCTAGGGGCATGGAGTCAGAAGAACAGAATCATTGCTCTCAGTATACTTTACAACACTACCCCTGACCATGGAGGATAGTCTTGCACTCCTCAAAGTTCAGGCCATAGCACTTACCCTTATCAAAACCACATCAGCTGCTTCAATGGCTACATCTGTGCCTGTGCCAATGGCAATTCCAACATTAGCCATAGCCAAAGCTGGGGAGTCATTGATTCCATCTCCTACCATTGCTACTCGTTTCCCCTCCTCTTGAAGTTGCTTCACTTTAGCAACCTTGTGGGATGGTAGAACTTCAGCAAACACCTTAGTAATGCCAACCTACATGAAAATTAAAGTCAATTCATTTCATTTCAAGAAATATTACTGAGTACCTGAAATATAATTCAGCAATCATGACTCATCATTTCTGCCTACCAGATGTTCAAATTTTAAGACTGACAAGCATGATGTAGTCCTATTTGTCTATTTTTGCTTTTGTTTCCCTTCCATCAGGATTGCATCCCCAAATGCTTCCCTGCATTTGATGTCTGGTGTGAAATTGTACATCAAAATGACAGCTAAGGAAATAACTGACAAACTAATAAAATTTGAGGGGAAAAAAACCTGATAATATTCATTGCTGGCAAGGATATGGGGAAATGAGCTCACTAACATACTGTTAATGGATGTATAAATGGGTACTGTCTTCTTGGAGGACATTTGACAGCATCTATCAAAGGGTAAATATCACTTGGCTCAACATTTTACTTCTAGTTATATATATGGAACATACCTGTACCTATTTTAAAAAAGATGTTCAGGGAGGTACATTACTGCCTAGGGTGTCACAACAAAATTTTCATAATTGCCTAAATGTCCATTATTAGAGGACTCTAAATAAATTATGATATAGCTGTATCATGAAATTCCATGCAACAATACAGAAAAAAACAAGATTATAAGTGCAATCATGGACAAAGCTCAGAAGTGTATTATGTTTTTAAAAAAGCAAACTGCTTAACAATCTATACAAAAATGATCAAATTTATGTTGAAAATACCATAACTGTACATTTATAAATGCATATGAAGATGTGGGGAGGGTAGGACTGTGAAGAACTTTGGAAAAGGGTGACAAACCTTTTACTTTATATCCTTCTGTATTTTTATACAAGAATGCACTCATATATTACTTGTATTATTTAATAGAAAAGGAGGGAAAGCAGGGTCCTCTCTGGTGGCATAGGGGTTAAAGACAGAGCTACCAAGCTATCGCCAGCCACTGCAGCAGGAGTTCAATTCTGGCTGGCCAGGGAGGTGACCTACATGGTGCAGCAGACCTCTCCTGTCTCACCCACTGCTCCCCTCAGCAGTGTATTTCAGTCCATCTGCATGTTCTGCTCCCCACTCTGCCTCTGGTAAATCCTCTCACCACCGCCCCCGCCCCCGGCACTTCTGGCCTACACCCCAGTTCTTATATGCATAAATAAATCTTTAAAAAAAAAAAAAGGAAAAGGGGAGAAAGCATTCCAAAGCAGAAAAGACTAATACGAGGAAGTTTTGGAGATAAGGCAAATATGGGGGTCAGTAGCAGAAAAGTGATGTATCAAAGTTGTGCATTGGGAATGTGGTTCCATCAGTGGTGTTCAGGATGGATTAGAGAGGGTGGTGCTTGGAGCTATTGCCATTTTTTAGGCACGAGAGGATGAGGGCCTACCTTAGGCTGGCAGCACTGGTAAAAAATATGAGGAGCATTTCAAAGAAAGCATCAACAGAAACTGATGTGTATGGTGTCACTCAAGCATCCCATAAACTAAGCAGATACCTTTTTGTTTATAAACCTAACTCACAAAGCCCAAAGTCCTTCAAGCATAGCATGCCAATTCTTTTTTAAGTAACCTTATAGGGCTATTCAGTGATAAGGAAGTAGTAGGTAATATGAATGTTTCAGCATCTGATGGCAAGAAAATGTACATGAAGAATTTGAAGTTACCACATACCTCTGACTCCAACAACAAAATCAACCAATTACCTGCGAAGCAATAGATCTCGCTGTTTTACTGTTGTCTCCAGTCATCAGAACTACTTCTAAGCCCATGGATTTCAGAATATGGACAGCCAATTCTGCTTCAGGCTTTACTGTATCAGCAATAGCTATCAAGCCACATAGTTCATCTAATACAGAAGCAGCAAAAAACAAAAGAGTTTGCAATGTGTTGAAAGCAGAATAATATTCTAACTTAAATTTTCAGAAAGAAATCAATTTTGTTAAGTAAAGATGTTTAGGACTTGGCAAAACTCAAGATATCTTCAAGTTTACACAGCCCACACAGGGCCACAAACCCTGCAACAAACTTCCATATTTGGCTATGAAATTTTCAGAGAGAGAGGCAGGTAGTAACAGGAAAATGAAAAGAGACCTTGCTATTACTAAAAGACCCTTTTTCTTTGAGAAGGTATTTTCCAATAGCTCCAAACATGTTAGCTAATTTAAAGGTAAATGATACTGAAAACTATTATTTTTTTTCTCTTTAAGGTGAAGGAGGTAGATGGAGACAAAACTGGCATTTTATACTGGGTAGGCAAGGCTCATTGCAAGTATTTTTTTTTCTTTTTTTAATTAAAAAAAAGTAAATGGAATTTTCTGCTTTCTCATAGACCTAAAAAGGCAATAGCAAGATACTGCCTTCACATCTAGCAAGGATTATAAAGATTAACTAATTAATCTCATAGCTAGAAATTTATCCTAAGAAATAATTTAACAAAAGAAAGCACCTAAAACCTCAAACATGTTTATTGTAGTGTTATATTTTCAATAATGAAATACTAGGAATAGCTTAAATTTCTAACAGAAGACTGATTAAGTTAATGATGGTATACAGTATGGTAAATTATGCAACACTGAAGCAAAATTATATAGCCAAATTGGAAAATGTTTATTATTAAATAAAGGAAAATAAAATAGTATGTGTACAAGGAATTTTAAATTTTTATGCAACTCTTTTAGGTAAAAGTTACATAAAATAAAATGTATTCTTTCAAAAACATAGTATTTGTACTAATATTTTTATTCTGTTAAAATATTTATGAACAAAAACAGAATGAAATATATGGAATTAAAACTAATATTAGGTTAAGATTATGAGATATGGATAGTATTTTAGTTTGCTATTATTTTAATATGTTATTTAGGTTAAAAAAACCTTAATTAGCTTTTTTAAAAAATATAGGTTAAGGAAGAAAATAACAAAGCCAGACAAATACAAAAGGATTAATTAATTGGTAACAATTATGTATTGCTAACATTTTCACATTGCATTCAAGCCACTTTTGAATAACATTCACAGTTCAGAAGTCTCTCAAAAATATACATAAAACAACGACTTTTATCACAGTATTGACTCATAGAATACTTATGGAAAACCTTACCATCAACTGCCACCAATACAGCTGTCCGACCTTTTCTCTCATGTTCAGTCATGAAACCATCTACATCGTTATTAATGGTGAGACCATTCCTAATCATCCACTCCCGGTTACCAATAAGGACTTTGTAGTGTTGAGCATTAAGATCATCTGAGAGTACAGAAATAAAATTTAGTGAGCTAATTTAAGTTTTTATAATAACCCTATGAGGTATGTTCTTTCTGTCTAACCTTGCACAGCCACTACATTGTATATTTGGCAGACTGGAGCCTACAATACTAATTTCCAAATTTTCTAGGAATATATTCTGCTCTTCCATTCCTCTGGTCCTTTGTATATGTTGTTGCCTCCACCTGGATGTCCGTACCCTTCATTTCCAAATAACAAACTCCTGTCATATTGTACAAGAACCAGTTCAATGTTACTTTCTTGTTGAAGTTTCCCTTTGACCTTACATAGCATCTGAATTAAGTTCAAAATATTTATTGTGCATCAGAAGCTGAATGTAGTTAGACAAAACATACAACCATGCTGATGTTTCATTTTAAACTTGGGACCATTAACTTTAAGTGTTCTTAGTGCTACTACATTTCCCTAGTCTACTACATTTCCCTAGTCTAATCATCTCCATTCCTTCAATGGCTATTTTATACCTTTCTCTTCTCCCATTCTCATTCCAGATGATGACTCTGCTTCCTACTTCAGAAAGAAAATAAAGGCAATCAGAAAAGAACTTCCACAAACTCTCATCACCACACCAACCCAACTATCTGTGCCTGTATACATATAATCTATCTTCCCTTCTGTTATTATAACATGCCCTGTTCCTATCTAAGGTCACCCTCTCCACTTGTGCACTAGATTCCCCCCTTTGCCTGTTCTAGAGCATCTCTCCACTTTTCTTCTTTTTCTCCTGCATAATTAATTTTTCTATCTCCATTGTAATTGTATTCCTCTACATATAGTCAAGTTTAAAAAAAAAAGCCCTCTCTTGATCTCACCTGCCTCTCTAGCTACTGTCTATTTCTCTGCTTCCATATAAAGCAAAACTTCCAACAAGTGTCTCTATTGTCCTTCTCCTACTCATGTCCTCCTGTTTTCTCTCTGGTGAACTATTCCAATAAAGCTTTTGTTTCTACTATTTCAAAGAATCGTTCACCAGTACACCAGTCACCTTTATGTTAATAAACCTAACAGAAAATTCTTAACCATCCTCTTACTTGCCCTATTAGCAACATTTACACAGTAATCATCATGAAGTACTTTCTTTGCTTGACTTCTGGGACACCACAATCTTATTTGCTACCTCCTCATTTGCCACTTATTCTCAGTCTTATTTACTAATCCTATCTACTTTTCACTCCCCATGGTGATGTTCTCCAGTGTTACAGCTTTATATACCATCTATACCAGCACTGCCCAAAAGAACTTTCTGTGATGATGGAAATATTCTATTATCTGCTGTGTTTAATACAATAGCCATTGGAGCTATATGGGGCTATTGAACACTGACCTATGGGTAGGATGGTTGAAGGGCTAAATTTAAGATCAAATTTTAATTTGGTAAAATTAATTAAAATTTAGATACTCACATGGAATTAGTGGCTACCATCTTGGACAGCACGGATCAATAAGTGAATGATTCCCAAATCTATCTTTGACCCAGTCTGCTTCCTTGAATTCAGATTTGCATAGCCAATTGCCTACTTGATATTTCCATTTGTATCAATCTTCACTTCAATATCTAATAGGCACTCAAATTTCATATGTCAAAAACTGAACTCCTAATTGTTCTCCCTCAATACCGCCCTTCCTGTGGTCTTTCCCATCTGTTTCAAATGTTAATTCTATACTTCCAATCACTTAGGCCACAAACTGCCATAATCCTTGATTCCTGTTTCTTTCACACCTCATATCCAGTACTGTGAGAACAGCTGCCAGCCAGTTCTCCCTTCAACACATATGAAGAATTTGACTTCTGGGCCTCCAAGGTGGCACAGGCGGTTGAGCGCTGCACTGTGAAGCTGTCCACAGCCTCTGCAGCACGAGTTCGATCCCCGCCGGCTGGGCGAGAATCCCACATGGCGAGGCAGACCCCTCCTGTCTTACCCCCTGCTCCTCTCAGCAGTGTATTTCTTCAGTCTGCCTGTTCTGTTTCCCGCTCTGTCTCCGGTGAATCCTCTCACCCTCCCCTGCATCTGGTCTTTTAAAGATTTAAATAAATCTTAAAAAAAAAAAAAGAATTTAACTTCTTATGACATCTACTATTACCACACCAGTACAAGTCACCATTATCTTTCACCTGAATTATGGCAAGAGCCCACTAGCTCATCCCCCTGCTACTGTCCTTACCCCTTTCATCTTCCCCTGGTATATTTTCATCAGAGCAGCCAGACTAATACTTTAAGACTGTCATTCCTCTACTCAAAACTCTCAATGGCTTCTTATCACAGGGTAAAAACCGAAGTCCTGTCAATGTCCCTATGATGTGGTTTGAGTACCTCTGACTTCATCTGTTACTCCCTTCTCACTCATTCATTCTGTTCTAGCCACACTGTTCTCCTTGCCATTCTCAAACTAGTCAAGCATACTCCTAGCGCAAGGCTTTTGTACTTAATATTCCTCCTGCCTGAAATGCATCTGCTAACAAATATTCCCATCGCTTTTCCTCCTTTCCACTCTCTTTCTTTGCTCAAACAGTACCTTCTCAATGAGGCCTACTCTTATCACCCTATGTAAAACAGGACCCACTACTCTCCCACACCCTGTACCATTCTTTATTCTACAGCACAATCTCCATTAGATATATCTCATTTTCTCATTTACTTGCTCCATGTCTTATGTTTTCCCACTAAGGAAATAGGACTTTGTCTATCCTGATCGCTATTGATTCTTTAGTGTTACAATAGTGTTTAATAAAAGTTGTCAAATGAACAAATTACTTTGTCAGTGTGCTTAATACTAGAAGTTCATAGATAGATAAATAATAAAGAAATCACTGTTTAGTAGAATGAAGTAAGTAAAGAATTATCATGTAGCATGCCTAGTATAATAACAGAGATTTAGTACATTTATGACTATAAAAACAAGAGCAAATATCTCTGCATATGTATGTCAATCAGTGAAGGCTTCACTGATGAGAGCTATGAACTGAGTCTTGAGAAAAGAAAATAATTTCATTAGGTAGTAGCCACTAAGTTACATGTGACTATTTAAATGTTATTTGTGGACATTATTTAGAAAAATAGTAAATGAAATTATCTCATTAGTATGAAATGACATGATGTAAGGAAGGACCATTAGTTCCTTACAGATGGAATACAGAGTACATATAGGACAATAAAAAAAGACAAGATGGACGATGCAGGGAGGCAGGAGACTTGTCATGGGGAATAAATCTTAAAGTCCAGAGAGGCTGGACTATGTCCTGCAGGAGACAGAGAGTAAGTAAAGCCTGGATTTTTAACAGAAGTCCAAGCATGGGCTTTAGGATATTTGTGAACGCCCTGAAACAGAAATTTTCTGAGAGGTAGGTATAAGTTTTCATCATATTCCTCTAAAGGCTGTAATTCAAAAATAAGTTATCAAGTACTATAATGAAAGGTACTGGTCAGAAAGTGGTATGAGCAGATTTGCATGTCTGCAAAATCACTCGAATAAAAAGTGGGTGAAGAGGTGCTGGAACACTTAGGTAGGTATATCATGTTTTTTTTTGCAGATGTATAGACCAAAATGAAGGTCAAGAAACAGGCCTTGGCTAGAGATAGGGACTTTAGAGTGGTAATAGAAACCTACAGGTGGTAGAGTAAGTGATAGGCAGAATGAGATTGTAGAGAGAAACATAATTAGAAAGAGACAAAGAACAAAATTCTGAGGACACTTTAATATTTGTGATCAGAAGAAAAGAAGAATCAGAGGACGATTAGAAGGAACATCCAAGAAAGTGTGAAGAGTGTCTAGAGAAAGCAAAGAATTAAGGAAAGAAAGTCTTAAGAAGGAAGAAATGATCAACATTGTCAAATGCCTTTGTAAAGTCATGCAGGATGAAGAGCGAGAAATGACACTGGAAAGGGTGCTATAAAAGGTCATCTGGGGACTTGGAAACAATAGTTTCAGTAGTATGAATGGGGCAGAGGTCAGACTATACAGTTAGTAAGTGAATTCAGCAAGCCTAGGTTAATCCAGAAGCCTGACTATAAAGGAAAGGGAAAGACAAAGTCCAGATGGGAATATAGGTATTTTGATAGAAGAAATGTTTATACGTTCAAGAGAAGGAGCTAATAAGGAAAGAGAAATAAGAATGAGGATATAACTGAAAGAACAAGGTCCCTGAAGAATTAAGCAAGGATACGATGTAAAGATGAGGGGATTTGTTAGGCAAGAAGAGCGATACTTTGCCCCCTTGAAAAAGAAATAATTCTGGGCAAAAATCTGAGAGAACACATGTCTGAGAACCTGAATATTTTATGTGAAAAATAAGCATGATAATTTGTTGAGGGAATTAGAAGGAAGACCACAAAATTCTGTGAAAAATATAAAAGGTTTCGAGTAGCTGTGGTAAGAAGTAACAGACTGCTGAATTATGGAAGATAAGCAAAGGATAAAGTTCATTACTCTATGGATGAATTAAGGAGCACAGTTGGGAAATATTCACTTGAGTAACATGAGTAAAGGGAACAGAAGACTTATGATAAAACTGATTTGGGAGGATGAAACGTTTGTTTCTTATGTTACAGTTCAGAATTAAACAGACATCTATTCATAACTGTCCCATAATTGGTACTATAAAGAAAATTAGCTTACTTGAGAGCTGGGCATCGATAACCATGGAAGATGAAGTTGATGACTGTTCATTATTCGCATCAATTTGAACCAGAGATGCATTTTTAATATTATTTTCCTCTATCTTCCAGTTACTCTTATGTAGCAGGCCTTCAATATTGGTGACTTTACAGCTAATACCACAGCCGGGCACAACCTGGAAATCTATGCAGGCACCCAATGTTTCAGTGTCCAGCTCCTAACAAATAGAAACAGAAGGATTTCCTCTGCTGTTCTAATAACCCAAGGTCATCCATTAACAAGATCAAAGAGTAATGCTGGTTAATTCTAAATGTTTAGACACATACTACATGCCTGGTTAATTTTAAATGTTTCTAATAAAACTGACAATTATCACTTATTTGACAATATATTTTGAAAAGGACAAAGAGCATTGAGTATAATCTTCAAAGTCACAGGACAACTTCAGAATCCTTTGTTTTAATTCCACTCTCTAAAATTTGTACCAAATTTAGGGAAAGAAAACAAGGAAGGTTATCAATATTTTCTGACCTTTTCAGTAGAAAATTATAAGATAAATATTTAATTCTATTGTGGACTGATTTTCTATTCAGTACAGGGCAAAGGGTAACAAAGTTACCCTTTATCAGAGTGCCTCCCCATTATGATTCTGTGTCCTTAGTAAACAAAGACTCCTGGTAGCCATCATTGCTTCCTGATTCTTTTTGTCTTCATCCTCTTGTTTCATTTCAGATAAATAATAGTAAATAGGTAAAAGGGAATTAACTAATAAAGAAATGGCAACACAAGTAATAGAAATTGCCACATTGTAACAGTAAAATCATGCACATGGAGGTGTAATGCTTACACCCAAAATTATATAGTTATGTAAACAATTGGCAAATCGATAAAATTTGAAAAAAAAAAAAAGTCATAAGGCTAGAAAAAATATCGCCCAGGGAGGGCATGAAGTAGAAAGAACAGATAAGAAAGAAGCAGTGGTATAGGAGGGAAGAAATCAGGAAACGTATCTCAGAAGTGAAAAAAAAAAGTATGAGAGATAACTTACAGAGAACTTATATAAATCAATGAGAAAAGGCAAAAAACTTTTATAGAAAAATAGGCAAAGGATGCAGGCAGACAGGTTACAAAAAAAAATTCAAATAGCCAGTAAACATTTGAAAAGATACTTAACCTCTCAACTGTACTTATAACTAAGGAAAACGGAAAGTAAGACATCAATGACTAAATACTTCTTACTTATTTAACTGGGAAAAATCAGGTATTTGGTAAGGAAATGGGCACTCAAAACTTTTGGATAAAGTGTACAACCTTTTGTGTGGGCGTTGGTATTATTCATCAAAATTTAGCTGCAAAAATCCTTTGATCTAGTAATTTCATTGATAGACAATTAACACAGAGATAAACTTGAAAAAGCTGACAATGACATTATCAGTACAGTGTAAGAGCCAAAAAAAATCAATATAACACAATGGAGTCATTAAAACAATGAGACAAATTTGTATGTCCTGATATGGAAATATCATTTAGTAAAATTTTTAAAAGATAACAAAGATTGGTGACTGAATGAGTTTCCTATGTAAAGGTTAAAAAATAATACATATATGTTGGTACATGCATTAAAAACCATTAACAGATACACACTTTTTGAATATATGAAAAAATACTGGATTGTATACTTTACAAGGGTGACTGTTACAGTATGTGAATTATATCTCAATAAAACTATCATTTAAAAAGATTGTTAACAGGTTAACAGCCATTAAGTTCTGAAGAAAGGGACTATGGAAGGGGACAGAAAAAAGCTTTCCTTTTTCACTATGTAACTTTCTGAACTCTGAATTTTCCTACCATAAATATGTACTACTTCCATTTTAGATTTCTAGGTTAATAGGGATTATCTGTGTGGTAGATTTATAGTCAATTTCTGATTTTACCTTTATGCACTTTTTTCTGTACAAAGAAATTGACATGAAATGAGACGGTAAATCTACCTAGCTTCATGCCAATCATATAGAAATCACAGCTTAATGCCAGTCTGGATTTGATTGGGCAATTTCTATAGGAGATGACTATATTAATAAATAAGGGGAAAATGTACCTGCTTGCAGTATTTCGTTACAGCTGCTCCTAGAGGGTGTTCACTGTTACTTTCAGCAGTTCCCACAATGGCCAGGATCTTATTGCGTGATATTCTGTTACTTTCAACTAGAACCTTTACTTGATTCACTACTGGGGTTCCATGTGTAATGGTTCCAGTCTTATCAAATACCACTACCTTTACCTGTAAGAAAATTAAAATACAGTGCACCTGTATGACTTGATAATCCTGAACATCACCTTTCCAGAAATGAGAAAGTTTACTTCAACAGACTTCTATTTTGTTTTCTTTTTTCCCCAAGCTTTATTTATTTATTTACTTATTTATTTATTTTAAGCTTTATTTATATATGCATACATGAACTGGGGTGCAGGCCAGAGATACGGTGGGGGGGGGTGAGAGGATTCAACAGAGACACAGTGGGGAGCGCAACAGGCAGATGTACTGAAATACACTGCTGAGGGGAGCAGCGGGCGAAACAGGAGAGGTCTGCTGTGCCATGTGGGTCACCTCCCTGGCCGGGGATTGAATTCATGCTGCAGTGGCTGCGGATAGCTTCACAGTGCTGCGTCCTAACCCCTTGCGCCACCATGGAGGCCCCTATTTTGTTTCTTTTTTTTAAAAAAAGATTTATTTTATTTGTACAAGAGCCGGGGTACAGTCCAGATGTGCGGGAGGGTGAGAAGACTCACCAGAGACAGAGTGGGGAACAGAACAGGCAGACTGATGAAATACACTGCCAAGGGGAGCAGTGGGAGCGACAGGATAGGTCTGTTCGCCATGCGGGTTGCTCCGAGGCTGGCAGGGATCGAACCGGCACTGCAGAGACTGCGGACAGCTTCACAGCGCTGCACTCAATGGCCTGCACCACTAGGGAGGCCCTATTTTGTTTCTTAATAAACTGACCTTTGACTTACTTGGACTTAACACACTATCTTTGGGAGAATAAAAGGAAGGGAGAACAAGGGAAGAAATACTCTTATTTATACCTAGTAGTCCTCCCTTGCAAATGTTCAACTGTACTGTGGATACACGTTATAAAACTAGAAATGAATTGTTAACAGGCAATTAAGAGATGCCTCTAGTGCTTCCAGGGAAACAAAAAGACTTTCAAATACCAATGAATTATAGATCTGCAGGGGAAATCTGGGCAGAATGTGGATGATTGTAAGAGAAAAGGTGAGCAATTAAATCGAAGTATGTGCCAGATAAGACGTGCTGGATTGCTTTATTGTGTCTAGATGAGAAATTTGACCTGAGAAAAGACAGCTAAGGCAACCAATGAGAGAAACTCAGCTCAGACAGAAAAAGGAAGCATATGGAATTTAGAGAACCTGTAACCTCATAGTAAACTCAGAATATGAACCTTGAAAATGAGCAGCTTGAGGAATCAAGATGAAACAGATATGACAACTAAATATGAAGCATGATTCTGGACAAGAGGAAAACTGCTATGAAGGTAATTATGAAGACCTCTAAGGAAACTGGAACATGGACTATAGATTGGACGATAGTATTATATCAACAATTTCTTGATTTTGATCATTATCCTGTAGTTATGTAAGAGAATAAATATCCTTGCTCTTAGGAAAGGAACCTGATATAGGTATTAAAGGGTATACAGCAGTTCTCTCTATATTCTTACAACTTTTAAGTCAGAAATTACATAAAAAAATTTAAAAATTACCATAAAAAGTAACAGTTTATATTCACAGGCTAGATAAGCTCCCAAATATGGTCTTAGCTGTATTCTGTGTTTACTGCATGGATTAGTATATAGCTTATATTCTCATAATAAGAGCATATTAATAAGAACATGACTTTAGTTGAAGTCAAGTAGTCTTGATTGAGGTTGTCATACATATTCTAATATGAGAGAATCAGGGATAATATTCCTAAAGTTATAGGTACAAACTGTCAGTGGGTGGCAGCAAAGGCAAAGAAATTGCAATGTAACTACAAGTGCTATCTCACAGTGAAGAACACAAACATGGAATCACACACAAATAGGTTAGAAGCCTGATAGATTTGGCCAATTTTTTCCTGGGCAAATACCTTTACTCTGTCTAAAGACTGGTCTAGTCTGAGGTGGGATAGAACTCCAGGTATCCCACATCAGGGTATGTATGCTCTAAGAAATTACACCTGGAATCGTTTTAGAGATCTTAGTTAACAAACGCCAATCTGGAGCAGAATCATAATACTTTTCATACCTCAATCATCAGGATAGTGCAAGGAAAAGCTCAGTTTATAGACCACATGGAAATAATTTAGAACTCAGTTTCACAATAGGGGTGCTATTGTCAGTTTGGATGGGATAATTCTTAGTTCTGGGGACTGTCTTACCTTGTGAGCCATCTCCAGTGGCTCGCCACCTTTGATTAGTATGCCATTTTGTGCGCCTACTCCTGTACCCACCATCACAGCAGTTGGAGTAGCCAGTCCCAGGGAGCAGGGGCATGCAATACACAGAACTGTTATAGAGGCTTGGAAAGCAAAACGTATTATCGTTTCTGTTCTGGAGATACTTCTGTTGTAGCCCTTTAGAAGAAAGGCATGACTTTTGGTTATTGATTTAGAGTTACATAAAACAAAAGGAGCAAAGCTTACCCTATTTAAATAAAACCCCAATTTTGAAGTAATACATATCCTATTTTGCTATCAACATATACATTTTAGTTCCTAATAAGAAAATATTTTTTTTCTTATATGAATGTAAGAAATTGTGACATAATTGGTAATTGAGTCATACTCCAAAAATAAAAAAACTTAGTTTTTGTGATTCCAGGGTTACAAATTATGCAGTGAATATAAAGAACATAGAAAGTCAGCTTTTCTTTTTTTGCCCCATACTGAGAATAAATGTCTTTATTAGGACTTTAAACATAGCTGCATGAACATTGATCTGCAGCTTTGGAGTGGGGGAGGGATAAGATTGGGGAGAACCGAGCACAATGTAGTATGGTGGAGTATGGGTGCTTCTGAGGTGGAAGTGCTACAGTGACTTCACTTAAGGGGGTGTATGCTATACTGTCAAAACACTAGCAAGAATGTAAAACAACAGTACTTCAATTAACAATAAATACATTTTTAAAATCTATCATATTAAAGTTTCTAAAATTCTGGTGATCTAACATTGTAATTATAGTTAACAATAGTATATTATAAACTTCAAAGCTGCTAAGAAAGTGTATCTTAATTATTCTCACCACAAAAAAAGTGATTAATTAGGTGACATGATAAAGGTGTTAGCTAACTCTGCAGTGGTCACCATAGTGCCATGTATAAACATATCAAACTAACATGGTGCACACCTTAAGCTTATAAAATGTTAAATGTTAACTATAACTCAATTAAAAAATTAACAAAACAAAAATAAATAAATAAAAATAGCTTCAGAGGATCTGCAACATAGGAAGACACTGAACTTATGTCCTCCCAGGGACACATCAAATCTACAGCTACACATGGCACAATTTCCTTTGAAGAAACATTTAAATACCTGTCTACGAAGGTGTCTCTTTTTTTCTAATAAATCTGTCCTTTTAAAATGTAAGAGAGAGAGAGAGACAGACAGCCTGCCTTAAAGACAACTGAAAGAGCAATTCCTGTACATCGGGCAAGAGAAAAGGAAATCACACAAGAGGCCAAGACACAATCTCACCATAATGCCCCCACAAAATGTGGCAACAGATAGTCAGGAGAGAACTCAAAACCAAGATCTTCTTCCTCAGGAATAAAGGGTTGAAGCCTACACTGGCCACCCCAATTTTAGGCCCTGTACCTGAGAAACACACCACTTTAATATCTAGCTTTTAAAACTAATCAGGCTCACATCCACGAGACCTATGAGACTGTAGCAAACTGAGAAAACACTTTCAAAAGACTTACACACAGATTTACTCCAGTGCCGAGAGGTGAAGGAGTCATTTGGAAAGCACCAAGATTTATGTGAAAGAAGTTCATTTAATCTTAAAATGTAGGCCTGAGGGACAAGGGCCTGTGGGAATACTTTCCAGGGATGAAAACTGGTGACACATGCCATTCTTTTTTAAATACACTAGATCTTTTTTCCCAGTGTTATTGGTGGTGGTGTGTGTGTGTGGGGGGTGTATCACTATGCTCTCTTCTGCCTTGCTAAAATTTGGCAGGCACCATGTTATTTTTTTCTTTCTGGCAGGAACCCCCTTTACACATCTCTGGCCAGTATCTCCCAGAGGATTTTTACAGTTAGCTGGTGACTTGGATTTTACAACTGGTACCCCAGTTTCTGAGGTTGGCACACAGAGAACAACCCTTAATGGCATTTTTCTGGAAGCTAGGGGTCTTGTGTTCCTGGGTCCCATGGAACTATAACAATGGCAGAGACAGTTTTTGGCAGACTACAACCCCCAGGGCACTGTACAGAAAGCAAACTAAAAAATACCCCAAGTCTTTCTGAGTATGAGGATTATTTGCTTTTCCAGGAACTTTGGCCTAAGGTGTAAATTTCTGGCTTGGCATATTTCCAGGGGACTATAGAGGAATATATGATGGTGGTCATAATCTCAAGAAACTTATGATGGTGGACATAATCTTTGCATCATGTGTCTGCCTTGCTCACTCCAGTTCACTGGTTATCTGCCAGAAAGGAACTTATACCCTTGTCTGGTACCCTGATGTGGGGGATAGTTCTATAATACCTAGAAGGGGATAGTTCTATAATACCTAACTCTGGTGATCAGCAGGGTGTGTGCTAGTGTTAGGGGGAAAGGATGTCCTGAGCAAACTCCACATAGGTTTTATGGACTCAACCCCCACTCCAGACCAAAGACATCAAGACACCGGGAACTACAAATCCCATCATCACTGAAGGGAGGGTTGCTGGGACCTGAGGGTGGAGTTAGCAGCCAGGTTTGGTATAAAACCAGACATGTGGGCCTTGGGGGTCCTCTTGGCCTCTTGGCTCGACTCGGCTTTTCGCCGGCTCTCAGCATGCCATTGGGATTCCAGGTCAGCGGAACTGGTAGGACGCATTCACCAATTTATCTCCCTCTCTTTCTCCCTGAGTTATTCATTTCTTCATTTCCCCTTCTTTTGTAAATAAACCCTTATTAACCTTTTTGTATGTGCCTGCAGTTGAGTCTTATTATAAGTCCCTTTAAGCGCACGGGTGAGAACCCCCACAGTCAGGCAACCCATTTCATATTGGGGTTGCCCTGTAACACTCAGAGGACTATAACCAACAGAAAGAGGTCTTAAACAGCTCTTACCCTCAGGGCATAGCATGAGGTAATAGACAGAGAAGCTCAATCTTTCTGTTAAAAGAGGCCTATTAGTTTCTTATCATAACTGCAGCCTGAGGGTGATGATTCAAATTAAACACACATCTCCTAAGGGCTGATAGCTATCCTTTCCAGAGACCTAAGATAGTGGGCAGTATTTTCGCATTCTTCCTCTGCTGTGCCCCAGAGGGCTAATATCTTTCAGAGGGGAACTCTAACATGTACCCCAATTTTTCATCTGGTACCTCAGTTTTTGCAGATGCTACCCTGAAGATGCTCCTTGATTGTCTGGGTCCGGAGGCCAGGGGTACTTGTATTCCTGTGCCACACAGGACTGTAACAATAAGAGAGACAGTTCTTGGCCAACTACTGTTCCCACAGCATTACACAAACAGAGATTGAAATACAACTGCAGTCTTTCTGTGAAAGAAGCCTATTTGGCTGACCTGCAGGTTTGAACCAAGTGACTCTTGGGCTTCAAGCAGCTTCAAGCATGGCACACATCTAGGGGACTACAGAGATAATCTCAGGGAATGTAGGCTGGGAAATGTCATCTTTGTATTCTTCCTCTGCTTAATACAGTTCATTGGTAACTCCCAGAAAAGGAGTTTATATAATCATGTGGAGCCCCAATTTTTGCGACCAATAGGCAGGGAATATTTTCACATCACCTAGGTCTAATGGGCAGCAAGTTTACACTTAAGGTCACACAGGACTACATATATATATATATATATATATGCAAACTTTAAAAACTGCTACACAAAGGTCTGGTCTCCAATAATTCTGAATTTATGTGCTGACCAAGAGCCTCCTCTTTGGGACACTGACAGGCCTTGGCATGCCCTCAACTGCTGAGAGCTATTAAAAATAAAATAGGCTGTTTGGACAATCACAAAGCTTTGAGAAACAACCATGAACTAGGGCAGGGTTGAACAACAAGGTCCATCTACTTATACAAGGTTACTCCTTCAAGACTGGAAGAGGTGGCTGGTTTATCTAATACATACAGAAAGTCAAGAAAAATGAAGAAACACAGGAACACATTCCCCCTGCCCTCCCAAAAAATAAGATAAAACCTCAGGACAAAAAACAGCCTATGAATCAGAGATGAGTAATTCACCTGATACAGAGTTTAAAGCAGTGGTCATAAAGATACTCACTGAACTCAGGAGACTAATGGATGAACAGTGAGAACTTCAACAGAGAAATAAAAACATATAAAAAATTACCAAGTAGAAGTCGTAGAGCTGAAAAATACAATAACCGAACTGAATCATACACTAGAGGGATTCAATAAAAGACTAGATGAAGCATAAGAAAGGTCTGTGAACTTGAAGATGTATCAGTAGGACTACCCCAAATCAGAAGAAAAAAGATACAAGAAAAAAGTGAAGATAGCTTAAGGGCTTACAAGACAACACCATTATAGTAATGCCAGAATCAGAAAAAAAGAGAGACATAAAACTTATTTGAAGATACAATGGTTGAAAACTTCCCAGGATCAGATGGCTTCACTGCTAAAATGTACCAAAGTATTACCCCTCACCAAAAAAATAAAAATCAGTGTGATTTAAAAATGGGCAGAGCATCTGAATAGATACTTTTCCAAAGAAGATATACAAATGGCTTATAGGTACATGTAAAAGTGTCCCATATCATGAATAATCAAAGAATTGCAAATCAAAACCACAATGAGGTATCACCTTACACCTGTTAGAATGGTTACTATCAAAAAGACAAGAAATAATAAGTGTTAGGAAGAAAGTGGAGAAAGGGAAATATTTGTGCACCATTGGTGGGGATGTACATTGGTGCAGTTATTATGGAAAACAGTACAAAAGTTCCTCAGAAAAGTAAAACTAAAACTACCATATGATCCAGCAATTCCACTTCTGGATATTTATTAAGTAAAAATGAGTATGTTAACTTAAATAAATATGTGAACCCCCATGTTTGTTGCAGCATTATTTACAATAGCCAAGATATAGAAACAACTTAAGAGTCCAACACTGGATGAATGGATAAACACACTGTGACACACACAGACACACACACACACACACACAGAGAGAGAGAGAGAGAAAGAGAGAGAGAGATAGAGAGAGAGAGAGATTATTCAATCATAAAAAATGAAACCTTGCCATTTGCAACATAGATAGATCTTGAGGCATTACATTAAATGAAATAAGTTAGACAAAGACAAATACCTTATGATCTCTCTTATATGTGGTAACTAAAAAATAAAAATCTTACAGATACAGAGAACATATTAATGGTTACCAGAGGTATAGGGTGGGCAACATGGGTGAAGTGGTTGAACAGGCACTAACTTCTTAACTTCCTGTTATAAAATGAATAAGTCATGGGGATATAATATACAGCATGGTGACTATAATTAATAATATTGCATTGCATATTTGAAAATTGCTAAGAAAGTAGACTGTAAAAGTTGCATCACAAGAAAAAATAATTCTGTAACTTGATGTTGACATGTTAACTAGACTTATTGTGGTGATCATTTTGCAATATATACAAATACTTAATCAATTTGTTTTATAGCTGAAACTAATACAATGTTATATATCAATTATAACCCAATAAAATTGCTGCAAATCTGGGACATAATTCTCAACAAATCTAAGTCTTAACAAACAAAATTCTGAATCTCTATATACAAAGCCCTAACTCTACCTTTCACATTATTCTTTAAAAGACAATAAACAAAAATTCACTCACTCACAATGGGAGCTTAATCACATTTCAACAAAATTGTTTTGGATGTAACAATGTAACTGAGTATACTTACTTGTATATGTCTTAGTAACCTTGAATATTTGCTTATGTGGGTAAATATACTTGATAGTATTAGAGGAAATCTCCTAAGACCCCCTGAAGTCATGAGAAAAATACCTGAATGATAATTCCAATATACTCCCCAGCAGCCCTCTTGATGAAATGTGTACTTACCCAATGTGAATCATTTAAAGAAACTTTAAAATATTATATAAGTGACCATATAATGGAATAGATGCATATTTTTTACATGATTCTATTTGCTCTTTAATCAAAGGGTCAAACAACATGATGGTATTTTTTAAAATTAAGAAATACAGCAAAGTAAGACTTTCTTGGTAGTAATGGTTTTACAGCTTTAGGTTCTTACTATGTTCTCAAATACTTAAACTAAGTGCTCTTCTAAGAGTTATAGATGTGTATAGAGTTGAAGGGAACTTTCATAGACATCTAAACTTATACTTTCACATATGCCATATCTATATGTATTTGCATATACCCCATGCTTTCACCTTTGCTAATTCCAATCATGTAATTTAGGTGGTATTATCACTATATTTCAGGTGACAACAATGAAGATAAAGAAAATTTGAAGGCTATATCTCTAACATGAAGAATTAATCTAGGTCTACTTTAACACTTTATGATACCATACTCTAGAAACCATCAGAGAACTAGAGGGACAAGCACTAATATGACCCTATATCTATAAAGCATTTAGTAAAGTATAAAGTCTTTCTAATCTTTTTAACTTTTGCAACTGAGGTTATGCAGGATGCATATAATTAAATTCCACTATCTAGATGAAAAAACTGAAGCTCAGTGAGAAATTAAGTAAAAGTTCAGTACTTGTTTTTGGAAAACCACAAGTCATAATGAAAAAAAATATTTACAAAAGGAAATCTCTTATATTTTTAGAAATGTAAATGTTATTTTATGCTTATAACTTCCACTCCAGCCCTGTAAAGATAATAATTGTTATTTATAATTATTATACTATTATTTCCAATTAACTACTTATGGAAGAGATTCACAAATTTTTACATAAAGAGTTGTTATAAGTCACTTACAGGAAAGTATGTTTCCACAATTTCAAAATTCAGAAATCCAACTATAATCCAAACCAAGAGGGTAGCAATGGAAACAATAACAATAAAAGGAACAAAGTAGCCACTGAGTTTGTCTGCAAACTGCTGGATAGGAGCCTAGAATTAAAAAAATATATATATATAATAGTAATACATATATCAAAGTCTCTTTTTCTGATAATGAATACAGTGTTCATTTGGTAATTAGAATAAGCAGAAATATCTTCATAAACTCCACAACTAGAACTAATCAAAGGAAAATATAAAAACTAGATCGGTGGGGGGAGGGGGTGGAAGCAAAAATTGTTTAAAAATGAACAATAATGTAAAAACTATATTAAAAAATTACAAAAAAAGAGTTCACATCAAACATTACTGAAGACAAATATACCGTGTCTTCAGAAGTCATGGAATTTTTCAATTTAGTACTTCTCTTGAGAGAGTTATGGAGTTTGTCTAACAACTTCACTAGATTATCCCTCTGAGTACACAGTCCTCATCTGAAAGGGATTATAATATCAGAGAAAAAAATAGAATAACAGAACTGTTATGTTACTCAAAAGAAAAATGACTAAAACATTCCATTCAGCATATATTGCTGCTTCTCAATAAGCCAAAAAGAGAACATTACCTTAACATTATCAAAATAATGTTTGATTATTGAAATTAACTTGTAATGGTGATTCAATTGGAGTGTGGATCTTATAGTGTTAACCTTATTAAATCTAAAGTCTTAAAGTTGGAATAGTACCTGGGGGTGACCCCTAATAAAGAGAACTCAGCACTGTGGGATAAAAAAAAAAAAAAAAAAAAAAAACTAGATCAAGATCTATACTGAACGGGCCCCCCAAAAAACACTTTCTGTTTCTTCTAGGGATTTAAGTTACCTTTGATGTCTGTGCCTCCTCCACAAGTTTGACAATTTGAGAAAGGGTTGTGTCAGCTCCAACATGGGTTGCACGGATAAGCAATGACCCATTCTGGTTAATGGAACCAGCAATTACTGTGCTGCCAGATTTCTTAGCCACAGGCATTGCCTCCCCTGTATAAGGAGTAAAGACAGATTTAGGGAGTATAAGTAAACACTATCATGTAACACATTATTATATGATAATTGTCAAAAAAATCTAGAAAGGAGATTCTTGCTTCATGAAGTAGAATCTGGACAAATGTCTAGGTGAAAGCTGCCCTCCCATCTTCTTTATGCCAGTTATAGGCCAAACCTAAGGATACCTATCTTAAATTGGAAAGGCCTAACATCTTAGCTCTTGTCGGCAGATACATTTCATATTCCACTCTAGACCTAGATCATTAGTTTCAAATCTGTTCCACATTTAGAAATGTGGAAGGGAATTCTTGCTTATAATGATTGATGGGGCATGGAGTACAGTTACTCCAATGTAGTGGGCCTGGGTCAATGATACTAAATGTACTACAATGTGTAAGCAGTTCCCAGAACTAAAAATTATTTCATCCAAACTGGCAAAAGCACTCCTATTAAGAAACAGAGTCCTGGATCCCCCTGGTGGTGCAAAGGGTTAAGTCTCAGCACTATGAAGGTATCTGCAGCCACTGCAGCAGAGTTTGATCCCCCGCCAGGGGGCTAACTCACATGGCACAGACCTCTCCAGTCTTACCCACTGCTCCCCTCAGCAGTGTATTTTAGTCAATCCGCCTGTTCTGTTCCCCACTCTGTCTCTGATAAATCCTCTCACCCCCTGTACCTCTGGCCTGTACCCCAGTTCTTATAATGCATAAATAAATAAATCCTTAAAAAAAAGAAAGAAACAGGGGCCTCTCTGGTGGTGCAGATGGCTGAATACATGTCCGCAGCCTCTGCAGTGCCAGTTCAATCCCCGCAGGCCTCGGAGCAACCCACATGGCGGGAGACCTCTCCTGTCTTGCCTGATGCTCCCCTCAGCAGTGTGTTTCAGTCTGCCTGTTCTGTACCCTGCTCTGTCTCTGGTGAATCCTCTCACCCTCCCGTGCATCTGGCCTGTACCCCGGCTCTTGTATAAATAAAAAAAAATAAATCTTAAAAAAAAAAGAAAGAAAGAAACATAGTCCTAAATTACTTCCACATGGTCCATAAACTGAGTCTCTTATGGGACTATCCTGAAGGTTGAAGTAGGAAAGATGTTAATTGGTTGTGTTCTGAGTTGGTCTTAGTTATCTAAGATCTCTAAAATACTCCAGATCTACCCTGATATGGAAAACCTGGAGTTCTATCCTAGCTCAAACTAGACCAGTTTAGAGCAGAAAGACAAAATAAAATCTATTGAGTTCTACAGCAGAATGAGACAACTTCATTTGGTTATACATTCCAGTAATTAACAATCCTCGGTGAAGAGAACCTTTAGTAGCTTAACTAAATCACAAGGTAAAATTGCAGAAATCAAACTAGTAAGTCTTAAAAAGAGTTCACAGTCACTTCACTCACTATTTCCTCACTCTATAGTCTACAAAGTCTTCATCCTTCATGTCTATTTTTCATTGACGCTTTGATGCACTTCACTTTCCTGTCATGATCCTCCGAAATAACATACCTGTGATGAGGGACTCATCTACCATAGAATGTCCTTCAATAACACGACCATCCACTGGGAACTTGCCTCCTGGAACCACTTTGATGATGTCTCCACGCTGTACAAGTTCCACATCCACTTGTTCTTCACTGGATGAGTTAACATAAAAAGCATCATGACAATATACTCTCACCCTAACCTTTCCATGCAAGCATTTTAGTTCATGCCAAGCTGGTAGCTCCATTATTACTACCAATGGAAGCTACAATCAACATTTAACTAGGAACTATACTGTTAGTCCTGTTTACTACTGGGGAATAGCTCAATATCTAGTACAAAGTAGGTACTCTAAATTATTGCTGAATAACCAAGGAATGAATAAATGTAAGCTTTACAAAATGTGAAATGGGTTTTATTTAAGTAAACAATTTACTGTGAAAACTTGCTTAATAATTTTGAATATACAATTGAGAAATACATCCTTCAAATCTTTAGCTCTAACTTTCAGTTTGTAGATAACAGGAGTTACAGGACAAGTTAAATAACATTTTATAGAAGGAAAGAGAAGAAACAAACTGGGATACTCTAAGGACAGCTGATGATGCTTCTTTAAGAAGTCAATTGTAAGAAGAGGGAGGAGGGAGAAAAAGGATGGAGCTGTTAAAAGATATACCTCAGTATGGGCCTCTGTAGTGTCGTAGGGGCTAAGTAAGTCTGAGCGTTCTTATGCTATTACCACTGCAGCCTGAGTTCAATCCCAGCCAGGAAGCTAACACACATATGACACAGCAGACATCTCCTATCTCACCTGCTGTTCTCCTTAGCAATATATTTCAGTAGATTTGCTTATTCTGCTCCCCACTCTGTCTTTGGGGTGAATCCTTTCACCTGTCCCCTCCATACCTCTGGCCTACACCCCAGTTCTTCTACACATAAATAATCTTTTTAAAAATTACATTAAAACAAAGAAATACCTCAATCAATGCATGACATATGGACCACTTTGAAGTCTATTTCAATGAAGTAGCTTAAAACATTTTAGAGAAAACAGGAGAAAGAGGAATATGGATTGTGTATTACATGATATTAAACAATTATTATTCATCTCTGTATGAAATATGGTACTATAATTATATAAGAATATGCCCCTTTTAAAGAGATACTAGAGGAATATTTAGCAATAAAATCATGTAACTGGGATTTGCTTTAAAATACTACCACATACAAAAAATGATAAAATGTATAGGTGTAGTAAAAGTGTGGCAAAATGAAAATAATTGACACATCTTGAAAATAAATTAAGCGGCTCATTATATTCTTCTCTCAACTATGCATACTTAACTAACTTTCCATAAGAAGCTAAAAACAAAAAGGGGAAAAATAAAGATAAATACCTCAGGAGGATATTATCAGAGTTAAGAGTTACAATAGTTGCTTCTGTAGCTTGTAGTGAAATTAGTTTGGCAAGAGCTTCTGATGTTTTGCCCTAAAATTAAAACAAAAATGTTAACGATGCTAAGGAGAAAAAGTTCAGGTTTACCTAAGATACAGATATAATACTTAATATTTTCCAAAAACACAGCTTTAGGAATAATAACTAGTTTAAATCAGAAAATGTTCTACTTTTATAATATAATGTAGACAAAATATAAAGTGTATTATCAGTTATAATATATCAAGAAATAGTGTCAATTAATAACATCAGGAACTCAATAAGCACACATGGAAGGGACATAAATAGGCAATTCATTTAGGAAGAAATATAAATACCCAGCGTGTGGTAAACTTTTATCCCTAATATTAATGGAAGAAATACAAACTAAAGCAATTCTTTGATACCATTTAATGCCTACTAAATTACCAATAATTTAGATAGGAGTCAATGTTGTCAAAGTTATAGTAAAACTACTTCCAACACACCTGTGCTGGCCAAAAATTGTTAAATGATCCACAGAAAGACTTATGCCCTTTAATCATGTCCTTTGAAATTTATCCTAAGATACTAGTTCAATAGAAATGACCAGTAGATATGAATATGCTTAATCAGGACTACCTAAAATTAAAAATTATCAAGAATCTAATTGAGAACCAAATCACAGTGTTTTTTTAATTTACAGCACAATGATTTGACAGTTTTATTAGAAATATCAAATAATTATCTAGACTGTAAAAACGGGGAAAACTTTACAGGGTTAAGGGTACAAAGTGGTATAAGTATTGTATTTGCCACTCTATACATGAAAAAGTTATATATAACAGGAATAGAAAGTGGTTTCCATTATCTCATGGAACTATAGGTAAATTTTTCCCCATCATCATTAGAAACCTTGTGGTCACATCAACTTTTCAATTAATAATGGGCTATAGGGCCTCCCCTGGTGGTGCAGCGGTTGAGCGCTGGGCTGCGAAGCTGCCCGCAGCCTCTGCAGTGCAGGTTCAATCCCCGGCCACCGGTGAGGGTCCCACATGGTGCGCAGACCTCTCCTGCCACGCCCACTGCTCCCCTCATCAGTGCATTTCATCAGTCTGCTTGTTCTGTTCCCCAATCTGGCTCTGGTGAATTCTCTCACCCTCCCGTGCTTCTGACTGTACCCAGTGCTTGTATAAATAAATAAATAAATAAATCTTTAAAAAAAAATAAATATTAAAAAAAAATAATGTGCTATAAATAAATACTTCTCAAATGTTTCTCTCAAAATAAACATGAACATACAATACTGTGTACTATACTAATCCCATTAATTTAAGGAATCTTCTAAAGGAATGTTTAACTTAAAATATTCCCAAAACAAAAATACTTATTTCAGTAGATCATTAACTGAAATGTAAATCACTTTATATTTCCAATACTTGGACTAGAAAATATTATTGGTCATTTATCTACCCAAGATATTACAAACATCACCCTTTCTTGCATTACCTTTGCTATATGTTCTAGCCACCGGCCTAGTGCTATAAACACAAATAGCATAGGAGGTGTGTCAAAGAAAGTAATAGGGTTCACTTTGGCTCTCTCGTACATTGCAACCAGAAGAATAACCAAAGAGTAAGCAAATGCAATGGTGGTTGCCAGCACAATCAGCACATCCATATTTGCAGTTTTATGCTTCAGTGCTTTGTAGGCCTGAATGTAGAAGTACCATCCTCCGAAAAACTGAAATACAGGAAAAATAATCATTGTTTCTTAAAAAAATGTGAAATTCACATATATATCTCAATAACTAACACACAGTCCCAATGTTAATTTCCTATCTAATTAATAAACATTAAGAAGAGATTTTAAGCTGAAATAACAGTGTTTATGTTTTAGAAGATATAGATGTATGGAGAGATTCAAGCTGCTTTACAAGCCCTTTGCAACTGTTCTCTGTGACCCAACAGATATTCTATAGTATAAAGAAAATCAGATGGTTCATAGATTTTTCTTTTTGATCCTAGCAAAATCATGAACTAAGAAAATAATTACATTCTTTAACAAATATTTTTTTTTATTTTTAAATAAAACTCAACTCCCATTTCCAAAATCTAACCTAAATAGTGTATCACATTATTATAATCATTGGCTGTTTTTTATTGGAAAATATAACTGAAAAACTTAATTTTCAGTATACAGAAACATACTAAAATGTTTTTGAAAATCATTATTGGCTTCTATAAGAAGCCAATAAAGAAACAGATTTATTAAAAAGAAGTATTCCACAATTAAAGTTTATCTCAAAATGGGACTGAAAAGATAAACACAGGCTCAAAGTAAAAGATAAGAAAACAATCCAACAAGCAAATGGCATCCTAAGAAAAGCAGGGAAAGTCATACTTACATCAGATAAAATAGACTTCCAGCTAAAAAAGGTATGAGACAGGGATGGACATTATATAATGACTAAGGGATCAATATATGAGGAAGACAAAATTCTCATCTATGTATATATACACACATATATATGCACTACAGGATCATAAAATATATAAAGCAACTACTAACAAACCTAAAAAGAGACATTGAAAGCAGCTATTTAGTAAGAGAGGAATTCAATACCCAATTATATCAATGGACAGATCAACCAGATAGAAAATGAAAAAGGAAACAATAATCTTAAATGAGGAGTTAAGCCAGATGTGTCTAACAGACATTTCTAGGCAGTGCACCTCCAAAAATTTGAGTATGGATTCTTCTCAAGTACATATGGAACATTTTTCAGGACAGATCACATGTTGGGTCACAAAATAAACGTTAATAAATTCAGGAAGATAGAAAGTATATCAAGTATCTGCTCTTATTACAATGTTACCAAAATAGAAAATGACCAAAATTTTGATTTAATGGGGAAAACAAGGAGAAATTAAAAAATACCTTGAGAAATTAAATGAAGATGTGAGCAACCAGAACCTATGGGATGCAGCAAAAGCAGTACCAAGAGGGATGTATGCAATAGAGGTCCATATCAAGTCAAGAAATATCTCAAATAAATAACTTAAATTTACACATTAAGGAATTAGAAAAAGAAGAAGAAACCAAAACCCAGTAGGAGGGAAATAATATCATAATAGAAATAAATGAAAGAGAAATAAAAAAGACAGTTCAAAATATCAATGAAACCAAAAGCCAGTTCTTTGGGAAAAAAAACAGACAAACCTTTATTTGACTCATAAAGGAATACAAGGCAAAAACTCCAAAAGAGTCAGAAAAGAAGAAACAAAAGAGAAGTTACAACATTTCCATAATACAAAGAACCGTAAGAGACTACATGCCAATATATGAATACAGCTTGCCAATAAATTGAATAATCAAGAAGAAATGGACAAATACATGGAAGCATAAAAAACTTTTGAGATTGAATCAGGAAGAAATAGAAAACCTGAAAAGACCAACTACAAGAAAGAAACTTGAAACAGTAATCAAAAGTTTCACAAAAAACAAAAGTCCAGACCAGATGTTTTCACTAGTGAGATGTATCAATCCTTCAAAGAACTAATACTTACCTTTCTCAAACGCTTGCAAAAAACTAAGGAAGTGGGAATGCTTCCAAACATATTTTACAAGGCCAACATTACTTTGATATCAAAAGTATAAAAAAATTCTACAGAACAATATTCATGATAAACTTGGATGCACAAATTTTAACAAAATCTTTGTAAACCTAATTCAACAATACATTAAAAGGATCATACCTCATGACCAACTGGGATTTATTCTACAACATCAAGATGGTTGAACATCTGAAAATCAGTGAATGAAATCCACCACATCAACAAAAGAATACATAGTAAGAATATGATCATAAGATGTAGAAATTATTTGATAAGATTCAAAATCCATTTAAAATAAAAACTCTCAAAAATGGGGATAGAAGGAACATATCTCTACATAATAAAGATCATAATATAACAAACCCACAGCAATCACCATATTCAATGGTAAGAAAGTGAAAGCTTTTCCTCTAAGATCAGGTACAAGACAAGGATGTTCACATTGACGACTACTATTCAAAATAATATTGGAAATTTTAGATAGAGTAATTGGGGAAGAGAAGGATATAAAAAGAATCCAAATTGGGAATGAATAAGTAAAACTATCACTAGTTACATGTGACTTAATATACACAGAAAATCTTAAAGACTCCACTAAAAAGTTTGGAAACTTTTTTGAGTTGGTAAAGTTGCAGATTACAAAAATCAATATACAAAAATCACTTCTATTCCTATATACAATGAACTAAAATAGAAAGAAATCAAGAAAGCAATATCATTTACTATCACATCAAAGAATTAAATACCTAGGAATAAAGTTTATAAGGAAAGCAAAGGACCTATACAACAAAACATAAGACATTGTTATAAGAAATAGAAGCGTTGGGCCTCCCCTGGTGGCACAGCAGTTGAGCGCTGGACTGCAAAGCTGCCTGCAGCCTCTGCAGTGCCGGTTCGATCCCCAGCTGCTGGGTGAGGGTCCCACACGGCACGCAGATCTCTCCTGCCGCCCCGCTGCTCCCCTCAGCAGTGTATTTTGTCAGTCTGCCTGTTCTGCTCCCTGCTCTGGCTCTGGTGAATTCTCTCACCCTTCCGCGCTTCTGACTGTACCCAGTGCTTGTATAAATAAATAAATAAATCTTTAAAAAAAAAAAAAAGAAATAGAAGACGCAAAGATGTGGAAAGATATTCCATATTCCTGGAATGGAAAAACTAGTATCATTAAAGTGACCATCTTACATGAAAGAACATACTAATTCAATGCAATTCCCATCAAAGTTTCAAAGGGGCATTTTTCAAAGAAACAAAACAAATATTACTGAAATTTATATGGAACCATAAAAGACCCTGAGTAGCCCAAGACAACTGACAAAAAAGATGGAGGTATCACACTCCAAGACATCAAACTATACAGCTATCATAACCAAAACAGTATGGTATTGGCATAAAAATAGACACACAGATGAATGGAAAGTAATTGAGAATCCAGAAATAAATCTACAATTATATGAAATATTAATCTATGACAAAAGAGCCAAGCACACACAGGGGAAAATGGCAAGTCTCTTCAACAAATGGTGTTAGGAAAACATCATATAAAAGAATGAAACCAGAGTAATATCTTACACTACATAAAAATTAATTCAACATGGGTTAAAGACTTGGATGTAAAGCCTAAAAGTATAAAATACATAGAGGAAAAGAGGCAAAACATGCCAAAACACTGGCTTCAGTGATGTCTTTGGAATTCAATTCCAGTGGCAAATGAAAGAAAACATAAACAAATGGACTACCGCAAACTAAAAAGCTTCTACACAGGGAAAGAAGTTATCATTAAAACAAAAAGATACACACTGAATGAGAGAAAATATCTTCACATTATACATGTAACAAGGAGCTAATGTACAAAATTTACAAAGAACTCATACAACTCAACAAAAGGAAAGTAAGTCAATCAAAAAAATGGGCAGGCAATTCCCCAAAGAAGACATAGTAATGGCCAACAGATACATTAAAAAATACTCATTATCACTTGTCATCAGGAAAATGCAAATCAAAACTACAATGATCTACCATGTCACACCTGTGACAATGACTCATATCAAAAAGACCAGAAATATCAAATGTTCGAAAGGACATGGAGAAAAAGGAATTTTCATATGCTGTTAGTGGGATTGTAGACTGGTTCAGTCCACATAGAAAACAATATGGAGGTTTCTCAAAATATTAAAAATAGATCTACCATAGAACCCAGCAAGTCCATTCCTATATATCTATATGAAGAATATAAAAACACTAATTCAGCAGAACATATGCACACCCATATTCATTGCAACACTATTTACAGTAGTCAAGCCATGGAAAAAACCTAAGTGCCTAACAACATATGAGTAGGTTAAGAGGATGTGGTATATATACACAATGAAATACTACTCAGCTATTAAAAAAAAGATGAACTTTTGCCATTTGTGACAACATGGATGGAACTGGAGGGGATTATGCTAAGTTAAGTAAGAAGGAAAAATACAAATACGGAATGATTTCACTCACATAGAATAAAATGGGACAAAAAAGGAACAGATAAAACCAAACTAAAACAAACCCTAGAAATCTGACTACAGAATTGAGGTTACCATATGGGGAGGTTGAACTTTGAAGCGAAGTGAGGAGAACTTTCAAGCAAAGTGAGGAGAGCCCCCAGACTATGGTAAAGACTACAGGTACAGGTGCTAGGTAAGATACATCTGAAGAAATATGAACCTATATCTCTGAAACATATGCAGTATTGTAAACCATTGTTACTTCAATAAAAAAGCAATACCAAAAGAAAACAACCACAATGAGATACCACATCACACTTGTAAGAGTGGCCCATATTAAAAATGCCAAAAACTCAAGTGTTGGTGAGGGTGCGGAAAATAAGGAACCCTTGTATACATTAGAAGGAATGTAGACTGGTCTAGCTTCTATGGAATACAGTATGGAGGTTTCTCAAAATATTAAAAGTAGATCTACCATATTATCCAGAAATTCCACTCCTACATATCTCCAGGGAATACAAAAACACTAATATGTGGGCCTCCCCTGGTGGCACAGGCAGTTGAGCACCACACTGTGAAGCTGTCTGCAGCCTCTGCAGCACCAGTTAGATCCTGACCGGCTGGCGAGGGTCCCACATGGAGGGGCAGACCTCTCCTGTCCCGCCCACTGCTCCCCTCAGCAGTGTATTTCATCAGTCTGCTTTTTCTGCTCCCCGCTCTGTCTCTGGTGAATCCTCTCACCCTCCCGCACATCTGGTCTGTACCCCGGTTCTTATATAAAATAAATAAATCAATCTTAAAAAAAAAAAAAACCCAAAAACACTAATGTGAAGGATTGTACACACTCCTGTGTTCATTGCAGCACTATTTTCAATGACCAAGTTATGGAAATAACCTAAATGCCCAAGGACAGATGAATAGATTAGAACGATGTGGTATATATACACAATGGAATACTGCTTAAAAAAGAGATAAACTCTAGTAATATAATAACTTTGAATATCAAGCTATATATACAATAGCTGATAAGAATACCACGACAACTGAATACTTGTCTGCTTTGTCATTAAACAATATGTTAGGAGTTAAATGGAATCTATTATCTACTTTAACAAACCACTCGGTTTAAGATTATTTTTTGTAAAACATCCAGCTTAAAATGGTCGGACTTCTGATATTTGTTTTTCAATTAAAAATAGCCTTGCTTGCCACATTTTGGCTATTTTTCATTGTAACAAATATACTTGCTAACATTTCACTTGCCTGTACAGGTACACACAATAAAAATGATAGCAAATTCATAATGGATAATCCTGGCAGGATCTGGTGCTCCAAGAACATAGAAGAATGAATATTGATCATTTCTTCTTGACTCATGTTCTGATTATGGTGAAGACTTGCAAGGTGGTGGTCCATAACCATCATATATATCATCAGTCCCATTACAGGAATACAGAAAAACAGGCTCACAAGGAAAGACCGTCTCCATCTTACATAGAAAAGAAAAACCATTTTAGAAAGTAGGTAACAGTTAAAGATTCCATGCATTACAGGGAAATACAAATTGTGATACTCCACCCAATATAAGGATGACGTTGTAAAATTTGATATGATAACATAACGTTAAATTTGATACGAGTCAAAAAATCTGCTTTTCACTGGCACTCCATAAATACTTAACTGTTTTATTTCTCGTTTATGGTCTAGGTGGCTGGCTGACCGATCCTTCTTGACCAAAGAAGCTTCAAAACCTAAGCTCTGAGAAAATTCATGAGAAAACAATTACTTCACTTAATATATAAATAATACATGGAAGATTCTAAACCATGATATTGTCATTAAGAACAATTCAGGGCCTCCCCGGTGGCGCAGCGGTTGAGCGCTGGGTTGCGAAGCTGCCCGCGGCCTCTGCGGCGCTGGTTCGATCCCCGGCTGCTCCCCGGCCACCGGAGGAAGATCCCACATGGTGCGCAGACCTCTCCTGCCACCCGCTGCTCCCCTCAGCAGTGTACTTCAGCCCTTCTGCCTGCTCTGCTCCCCGCTCTGGCTCTGGTGAATTCTCTCACCCTCCCGCGCTTCTGACTGTACCCAGTGCATGTATAAACAAAACAAACAAATATAATAAATAAATAAATAAATAAAACATGCCTCTATAAAAAAAAAAAAAAAAAAAAAAGAACAATTCAGTTTAATTACTGAGTGCAAGTCACTCTGGAGAATACCAAGATGAAGATGTGATTCGTGATCATAATTACCATTTTTCTAATATTTCATCAAAGATATATTTCCTCAACTCCAGTTATTGTCTACCCTACTGTTCTCAAACTAATGACTTAACTCAAGTGCAGTTGTCCTCAGTAAACAATTTTATTATATCAAAAAATAAATTAAAACCTCCAATAAGTAATTTTGAATAAAGGTAGAAATCAAAGAGTATTTGATGACCTAATAAAGACAAAATTCATCAAAAAATTATAACTGTTACATTCAGACGAACATCATATAGTAGTATTAATCAGTTTTGTTTTAATTTTAGCTTTAACATCTATTGACCTATTATCCTGTGAAGAGCAGAAAGCTAAATAGGTCACAAAAAATTTTTCATACATATATGAATAATAGCATTATTATACATATATAACAATGTTAGTATTAACATATAGTATTATTCACACTATATATGTAGTATTTACTCTTGATCTATCAGAAAAAAAGAACATGAGCAAAAATTATTTTCCTTAATAATACAAAGTATTAAGAGAAAACTAAACCTAAGAGTCACCTGAGCATAGACAGTAATATAAACTATATTTTCAACTGTTAAGGGAAATGCTGCCATCTCACATTTGTTGGCAATGTAGCACAGGGAAAGGAACAAATATGAGCACTGGAATCAGAAAGATTAGGCTCACATCCCATCTATGACACTTAATAGCTATGTGACTTTGGGCAAGAAACTTCTCTTAACCAGAGTTTCCTCACCTTCAAAATAAAGATGACAGTGTGGTTGTGAGAATTAAATTAATAGTTGAAATTTTGCAGTCTTGGTAACTAGCACATAGTAGGTATTCAATAATGCTAGCTTCACAAAGCTGTTAATGACATCTTTTTCTATACTTTTAGGATCTTATCTGAACTATTAATATACTTTAGATCATTTAGAACATCGACCCTATACCACACTGAACGTTTAAAGCACTTTCACATTTACTACCAGTTAAGATTTACTGAAGAACACAGGATGAATTTTTCACAAAGGAAAGGGCTTGGTCTTTTTTAAAAAACTGTTTTTAAACATCCTTGTTTATTTTCTCCCCTCAGCTGTGGTCACCATCATTTTTCCACCACCCAAGTGCCCAGAGTCCTCTACCACACTCCACTGTGCTGTCCTGCCCCCGTCTCTACTCTCCCTTCCCTTCCTGAATGTCTCAGATCTATAGTCTACTTTCAAGGATCAGTCTAAGTTTGTCTTTTAAATTTCTTACTTGAACTTAAATATACGTCATTTTCTTTGTCCTAACACATCATAAAGTATAGTAGGATGATTGCTTCTCGGCCTTTTGGCTAAGAGCAAGTGTAAAGTATAATAGGATGTTTCAATTTCTCAGTGATTAACATGAATCTGACTCATAACAAATTATACTTTACTTCCATTTTCTAAATATTTTTAAATGATATATTTTTAAATGATTTGTGCTTCTAACTTAAGTGTGCTTCTGATTTAATAATGCCAAGGTGCCCTAACCGAAGTCTCCTGACAAAGCCCCCTCCAAAAAAAGAAGAAAAAAGAAAAGAAACAAGGGAGACACATTTACATTGAGTTGAGACAGATCTTGTCTAGAAATCAGATGTTCTTCACTGTTTCTGTTTGATATAAACCAGAAGTGACTCAAGGGAATGCTAACTGAATAGGAAAGAGCACAGAAATGCAAAGTCTTGCCACTTACTTCAATTGTATGGATAATATCTCTGGGACCAATAATTTCTTGGTCATATTTAATATGTGCTTTGTTGGTTGCCAGGGCCACAGAGCAGTAGAATATCCCTCTATGTTTTGTGAGGGTAGACTCTATTTTATGAACACAGGAGGCACAAGTCATTCCTCTTACCTGTTAAAGATAAAGGCTCTGTTATTCAGAAATACACTTTTTTCTACCATTAAACATGAGCTTACTTTAAACTGAAACAACTCTTATAACAAAGTCTTATTAGAACTATTAATAAACATTATATATATGATTATTAGACCACTTTTTATATCACATGGAACATAAATAAGGTACCAGCTGCAATAGGTTAAATTGATATCACTGAAGTTTCCCTCTTCTTGTCACTACTCAGTGATAGAGGATTTGACTTCTATCATTGTTTCTTATATTCAATGCCTTGCTTCCTTCTAATTTTTTTTATCCTGCTTAAGTGTATATTGCCTTTAATAATACTTCACTGAGGGCCTCCTTCGTAGCCTAGGGGTTAAGTCTCAGCACTATCACTGTGAAAGCCAGGACCTGAGTTCAATGCCTGGCCAAGGAACTAACCCACACATGGCGCAACAGACCGCTCCTTTCTCACCTGCTGCTCCCCTTAGCAGTGTGTTTCAGTAAATCTTCCTGTTCTGCTCCCCACACTGTCTCTGGTGAATCCTCTCATCCCCTGCACCTCTGGCCTACACACCAGTTCTTCTATGCAAAAACAAAATCTTTTTTAAAAATTTTAAAAATAATACTTCACTGAAGGTTAATGGATGGCAAAAGTTTTCTACCTTTGTATGCACCTTTGTATATTTCTACAAAAATGTCCTGTCTTCAGTGAGATAATAGTTCAACTGGGTGTTAAATTCTAAAATTAAGGGAGAGGCAAAACTTCTGGAATGACTGTATGAGGAGCTCAGCAAACCCTTTCCCCAACAGCAATGATGAAACTGGACAAAGCTTCAAAAAACAACCATTAAAAGACACTGGAAAGTGACCAGAGTATATAACTTATGAAGCATTTATTTAAGAATATCTACTGAAGGGATGTAATTAACAGTGGAATAAGGATCTCTGAATGTTTGTTCCTCCATAAAAGCAATGAGAAAACAGGGGGAAAATGCTTAGAACCAACATTTTCATAAATTAAATAAAGCTTACAACAATTCAGGAAGCACATATTAAAGAAAATTAGCTGAATCCTGATAAAATAGCAACCTATGTGGAATTAAAATTTACTTTATTCCAGTTTACTTCAGTCTAGTCTGTTACAGTCATGAAGACTAATAACCTATAAACACAATGAAAAGTAGCATCAAGGACACCACCAGAGACGACAGAAGAGGGTTGGAGTTCCTTCAAAGACCTGTTCCTAGAGAAATGTTTTTGACTTGTCTGATGGTTACCTCAAATATCCCACTTGCAAAGATATCTGTGTTTGCCCTAACTGAGGATCAGTGACTGCAAAAAGCCTTTTCTCCAGGAGAATTTTCCAAAAACAATTAGAGGCAATTATTTACCTTGTGCCAGCTGGACTGATGGTTAGTAGTTGGGACAAACAACAGGTTAAAGAAAAAGTCTAAAAGGATAAGCTGGCAAGTAAGATATCTGAAAAAGCTCTAAACTATAATAAAAGTCTAAACAGCTATGCACATGAATAAGGTTGTGGTATTGTCCAGGGATGTGAATATGCTCAGAAAACACCTAATATGATTGTATCCTCTCACCACTAATTGACGTTTAGCCTCTGCGGAAGAATGAAGTAAAGACTAAGACAAAGTTGACAACTGCATGGTTTACTGTTGTAGGCATGCCTCAACATTTATACAGTGCTTTACAGAAAAGACTGGAAGACTTATTGGTTCCAGGTATTTAAGAAAATCTCTATCCTATCATTAGCTGACCACTGAGCTAAACAAGCAAAGATTTCAGTGGTCACACACAATAAAGGATATAGACTATAGCATTAGTTCAGAAAAGTTAGAAAACAAACAGTAACACTAACATACAACAGTAACAATAAAACCTGAGGAGGGGCTAAGAATCTTTTTTCCAGAGTTGCCACAATATATTTTCAACAAAAAATTGTGAGATATGCAATGAAATAAAAAAGTATGGTCCATACACAAGAAAAAAGCAATCAATAGAAACAGACCTGGAGGAAGTCCAGGCATTGGACTTAATAGATATAGACTTTACATCAACTTTGTTTTTATATGTTTAACAAGATATTGTTTAGACTTTTCTGTAAAGTGTAAGCTCATATCTTTTAACATTTTTCTTTTTGGTTGCTGCCTCTAACAGATTTATAATGGTTCTTCATCTATTAAGAAAATATACCTTCTTTTTTATTTTATATATTTTTTACATCATTTTTCATTTTTGCAGAATGTATGCATTTTCATCTTGGTTATATTCCCCATACAATTCCCATCCTCCTTATTTTGACCCTAATCCATCTTCCCCTGCCCCCACAGTGTGTCTCTGGTTTATAGTTGCTTGTTGATTTTGATTTTTACTTTATTATAATTAGTCTTTTTCCTGAAAAAAAAAGAAAGAAAATACACCTTCATCTACTGTATGAATTACAATTATCATACTTCCTTTTGATTCTGTTTATGGTGTTTTCTTCCCAAGAAATTTTTATGCACCTGAACATATCAATCTTTCCTTTTAATGTTTTCAAAATGATATTCAGAAAATCCCTTCCTACTCAAATGTTAATTTTTAGAAGACTTCAAAATACACTAACAATAACAGTCACAACTTTAAGTTACAAATCAACTTTGAATTGATTATAATTATAAAAATTTAAAATCTCTAAAATGTACAAGTTTCTCTTTGCTCATCTCCCCCAATTTCATTTTCTACCCTAGATTGAAACACTGCTAATGATGTCTATAAATAAGTGCTTTCCATAATATTTGCCTATACATTTAATTATATAAGGAAACATACATATGATTTTCTGGTTTTTAATTAAATTACATCATACCATAAAATACAGCAACTTCATTTATTGTTTAAGTAAATAATATATCCTAGAGATTTTTACTTCTCAATTAATAGTGATCTATTTTATTCTTTTAAACAGTCATATTATGTTCTATAATATGTCTACACACAATTTATCTATTCCCAATTAAAGGACATTTAGGTTACCTCTAAATGTTGCCCTTAATATGTAATAAATATTACCTATGTATGCTCATATTTCTATAGGAAAGACCTCGTAGTTGACTTCCTTGATAGGAGAAAATGATCACTTTAAACAATTATGCCTTACCTGGTTTTAAGTCTTCATTTATAAAATTTAAGTTTTTAATACATCTGGCAGTTCTTTTACATGTAACTAGGCAGGGATCATACTATATTTTAAAATCTGATTTTCATTGTTTCATTCAAAGGAACTTTTTCTTGTGGCTTTTAATACAGAGTATCTTTTACATCCCATACTTGAAGGTAGCCATTAAATCACATCTTATCCTTCTATTTTTTAGCTTCCAAAATTTTCTAATATCTTATTTTCCCAGCCTTTAGTTATCTTTTGATCTCTTTTCTGAATTCTCACCAAGTTATCCTTGTATATTTTATTAATCACATAAAAATTCTCACTTACAACAAATTCTAAAACACCATCCCCTTCATCAGCATTTTCCATCACAGTTGCTCCAAATCCAAGCTCTTGAATGAACTCTGCTATTATCGCAGGTTGTATAATAGCAGGATTATATCTTACTTCTGCCTTGCCAGCCATCAGAGCCACAAGTACAAAATGTATTCCTAGGCACATTAAGAAAAACAATTCTTAAATTATATTCCTTATTAAAAGAATTTTAATATTTAAATAATGTACATATTTAAACCTGTAACTCTAAGAGACAGACTATTCTTTTTGAAAAAAATGCCTTAATGCTATTATCATATCTATAATAAAATAATTATACAATATCATCAAATATCCAGGTAATACACACATTTCCACAATTGTTTATTATTTATTTAAAATTGCTGGAATTTGGGATGCAAATAAGGCCCATGAATTGCAACTGGCTGAGATCTTATCATGTATATATAAAGCATTTTTAGAGATGAGTAAGACAAAATACTACAGAAAGGATCTCAAGGGCTCAGGAAATCATTACTTTGGTAGCAAAGACTCTAAGAATGTAACAACAATACCATATTATCAAATAGTCACTTCTTAAAAGTCTCTATTTTTACTGTCTGACACAGCCTAAACTAAAAAGCTCTTATTCCTAGAAAAAAAAAAGTGCCACAAAATTTGTTAACAAAACGAGAGTTCATTTTATGGTAGTCACACTGTTCTTTGGTGCAATCCCTTGGTTAATTTTATAATCGATCCACTTACTGCTATCATTGCCAGGAGGAAAAATTAATTCTGCACAGTAAAAAACAGTTCTTTCTAGGAATCTGTGGTACTTAGTAGCTACCTGACAGTGAGTGAGAATCAATAGTCTATAGGTCAGCTGCAGGGCTTGATACAAAAGAAAGAAAAAGCAAATATTAATTTAATAAATTGTTTTTAAAAGATATTAATTATTTGTGCATACAAGAGCTGGGGCGTAGGCCAGAGGTATGGGGGGGGGGGTTGGGAGGATTCACCAGAGACGGAGTGGGGAGCAGAACAGGTGGATTGCCTGAAATACATTGCTGAGGGGAGCAGCGGACAAGACAGGAGAGGTTTGCTGCGCCACGTGAGTTAGCTTCCTGGCCAGGGATCGAACTCGTGCTGTAGTGGCTGCCATAGCTTCATAGTGCTGAGACTTAACCCCTTGCACCACCAGGGAGGACCTTAATAAATTGTTAATAAGAAAACTATCTAATATGAATTTTCCACATAAATTGCTTACACTCTGGGTTTGCTGGACACCCAATAATTCACATGGTTGGTTCATGGAAGTGTCATTAATAAGAGAAGGGATACAGAGAGTGGGAAAATGTATTTTTGCTTCAGTTGAATATAACCTGTAATACAACAGAAATAGAATGGAAAAGCTGATTTTTCAAGTTTCAAAAATGTTTTCTTAGTTCAAACTATAATCAGAACAATTTTTATCCATCTTTAGAAATCTAATGCAGACAAAATTGGAAAGATAACCCGTGCTCATGAATTGGAAGAATATCATTAAAATGCCATATTACCTACAGCAATTTTCAGACTCAATGCAATACTTATCAAAATCCCAATGATTTTTTTTTCAAGGAAATAGAATAACTCTAAGCTCTGTGTGGAACCACAAAAGATCCTGAATGGCCAAAACTATCCTGACAGAAAAGAGAAAAATGAAGGTATCAAACTCATGGATTTCAAACTATGTTACACAGCAACAGTAATCAAAACAATGTGACACTGGAACAAAAACAGAACATATACCAATGAATAGAACATGAAGACCAGAAATATGGACAGTTAATCTTTGGCATAAGAACCACAACCATACAATGGAGAAAGGAAAGCTTCCTTAACAAATGGTATTAGAGGAGCAAGAGGAAGAGAGAAAAGTGGGGAAGGGGTACAATAAATGATGGTGGGGAGCTTTCAGTGCCTTGGTGGTGGGTGTGGTATAGTAACATACATGTGACAGTTGTGATCCTTAACCCTAAAATATATACAATGTTGTAAACCAATGTTGCCTCAATTGAAAAAAAAAACCACAAATGGTTTTGGGAAACATAAATAAACACATGCAAAAAAATCAAACTATACCCATCCTTAACTCCATACACAAAAATTCAAGATGGATTAAAGATTTGGATATAAAACTGACTCCATAAACAAAATCATAAGGAATGCACTAGAGAATATCCACTACAAAGTTGTATCTCAGGACATAACTCCAACAGCCAGGGAAACAAAAGCAAAAATTATCAAGAGGGACCACATCAAACTAAAAAGCTTTTGGACCTCAAAGAAATCATCACAAAAACAAAAAGGCAAACTACAGACTGGGAGAAGATATCTGCATATCACACATCTGAAAAAGGGCTATTTTGCAACAATTATACAATCCAACAACAAATGAGACAACCTAGTAAATGGGCAAAACACCTAAGACACTTTTCTAAAGTAGACATTCAGACGGCCTACAACAGGCACATGAATAATTGTTCAACACCACTTATTATAAGGTAAATGCAAATCAAAATCAATGAAATCTCAGCTTATCCCTATAAGAATGGCCTATATCAAAAAGAATGGAAACAACAAATGTTGGCGAGCTTATGGAGAAAAAGGAACACTCAGCTACTGTTGGTGGGAATGTTATTTGGTTCTGTCTCTATGGAAAGTGGTATGGATACCTTAAAAAATAAAAAAGGAGGGCCTCTCTGGTGGCACGAGAGGTTAAGACACAACCTATGAAGCTGTCCACAACCTCTGTAGCACAAGTTCAATCCCTGGCCAGGGAGCAACACACATGGCACAGCACACCTCTTCTGACTCGCCCGCTGCTCCCCTCAGCAGTTTACTTCAGTCAATCTGCCTGTTCTGTTCCCCACTCTGTCTCTGATGAATCCTCTCAACTCCCCCACCCTCTGCATCTCTGGCCTGTACCCCAGCTCTTGTATGCATAAATAAATAAATCTTTAAAAATAATTTAAAAAAAGGAAATCTCATATGATCCAGTAATACCTCTACTATGTATTTACCAAAAAATGTGAAAACTCTAATATGAAAAGATTTATGTACTTCCATGCTCACAGCCGCACTTCACACAATTTCCAAGTTATGGAACCAGTCTTAGTGCCCACTGTCAGACAACTAGATAAAGAAATTGTGGAACGTATACACAATGGAATAATACTCTTGAAAAAAAAGGTGAGGTACTTCTTTTTGGGAAAAATGTATGGATCTCGACGTGATTATGTTAAATGAAGTCAGAAAGAGAAAGATATCAGATGGTTTCACTTCTCTGTGGGATATAAATAACCAAAAATTATATACTGGCATAGCACAGCAAAAGTGATTCTTAGACATAGTGGAAAATATACTGGTTACCAGAGGGAACAGGGGGAAAGAAATGGATTGGGAATTGGCACAGGAGGTATGGTGGAAGGTGAGAAAAGCATGTGCATATGTGAAGGATAAAAATATATATATCTAAAGTTATATAGACATGTAAATGATAGCTTAAGTCTAATTTAAAAATTTTAAATAAAGCCATTTTTAAAAGATAATAAAATACAAACTTTAGGGTTAACTAATTAGATATAATAGAGTCTGAAATGAAGATGCAGAAATGACAAAACTCAGATAAGATAATCTTGAGCGGAAGATGGCTGTGTATAAAATGCATTTTCTTATAATAATGTTCTGACCTTTATACATAAGGTGATGCCATTAACCACAGGCCTTCAATATTACTAATACAATATGACTTATTTCCCCAACAGTGGGAATAAATTTATACTGATCTTACTTATTTGGCCTGTGTGCCTATTAGTATATGTCATTAAGACACCTGGGCAGGGCTACCTAAATACCAAATCAATCCTTTCAGTCTCATTAAACACAGTAACATATCTCTATTGTTAACAAATCTACTATGCTGTCCAGTAATATGAGAGCAAATTTTTAAGCTAAAACATTTGTGGCTGATGGGAAAATGTTCAACATCCCTTATAATCAAGGAAATGCAAATCAAAACCACAATGAGATACGACCTTACACTAGTAATAATGACACATATCAAAAAAACTAGCAACAACAAATGGTGGCAAGGATGTTGTGAAAAAGGAACTCTCCCACAAGCTGGTGGGAGTACAAAAGGTCCAATTGTTAACAGGGTGGTCCCCAGGAAAGGGGGAGATTCCAGGTTCCGTGAGCAGGGAGAGAAGAAGCTGCAGAGGAGACTAAGGAAGGAAGCAGGATGAGCCAGAAGGAGACCTGGAGGAGGTGCATGGAGCCTAGAGACACATGAAGAAACTGCGCTTGTCTTTTGGTCGTGGACTGGGTGACACAGATGTGGGTGAGAGACCCGAGGGGAGGTGACAATGGCAGCTTTTATCTTGATGTTGATTTTGCTCTTTTCCTTCCAGGCTTGTCTGGTTGTTTCTGACCCTTTTCTGTGGGTCCCCACTGGAAGATGCTTTAGACTTATGGCAGGCTTTGGGGCCTTGCTCTGGGCCAATCCCATATGGATGGACTTTTACCCGCGAGGGGACGGGTAACTTTGGGTGCTTCATTTAGAAACTAGATTCTTTGCCTTTCCTGTATTGTTTCCCAGTTTTATTAAAGTTCCTTCCCATTAAAGTCTCATATGTTTTGTGTTGATGCAGCGGATGGCAGAACCCTATATAAAATAGGCAGATTTGTGGGGTTTGGGCTGTCCCTCTCCCTGCCCTGTAACACAACCACTATGGAAAGCTGCATGGAGTTTCCTCAGTCTACTAAAAATGGAGTTACCATATGGCCCAGCAATTCCATTCCTAGGGATCTACCCAAAGGACACAAAAACAATGACTCAAAAGAATACCTGCACCCCTATGTTTATTGCAGCACTATTTTTTTTTAAGATTTATTTATTTACTCCTAGGAATTTACCCAAATGACACAGAAACATTAATTCCAAAGGGCATCTGCATCCTTATGTTTATACAATAGCTAAGCTATGGAAAAAACCCCAAATGCCCAAAACTAGATGACTGGATCAAGAAGATGTGGTACATATATTACTCATCAATCAAAAAAGATAAACACATGCAGTTGCAGCAACATGGATGGAGCTAGAAGGGATCATGCTCAGCAAAATAAGTCAGAAAGAAAAAGAAAAATACCGGATGGTCTCATTCATAGCAGGAATTTAGAAAACCTAACTAAGGGACCAGGAAAAAGACTAATTAATACAAAGTAAAAATCAAAATCAACAAGCAACTATAAAGCAGAGACACACTACGGGGGGCGGAGGGAGAGGAAGGACTAGGGTCAAAATAAGGGGGGGTGCAATTGTATGGGGAATATAACCAAAATGAAAATGCATACATTTTGCAAAAATGAAAAATGATGTAAGAATTATATAAAATAAAATATTAATTAAAAAAGATTTATTTATTATACAAGAACCAGTGTATAGGTCAAATGCACGGGAGGGTAAGAGGACCCGCCAGAGACAGAGCAGGGAACAGAAAAGGCAGACTGACAAAATACACTGCTGAGGGGAGCAGCGGGCGAGACAGGAGAGGTCTGCAGCACCATGTGGGATTCTCGCTGGCCAGCTGGGATCAAATCCACATGCAAAGGCTGCAGACAGCTTCACAGTGTGGCACTCAACCACCTGCGCCACCAGGGAGGCCCTGCAGCACTATTTATAATAGGTAAAACCCAGAAACAACCCAAATGCCCAAAAATAGATTACTGGATCAAGAAGATGTGGTATATATACACAATGAAGTACTATTCAGCAATCAAAAAGGACAAACTCATGCCAATTGCAGCAACATGGATGGAGCCATAAGGAATTAGCTCAGTGAAATAAGTCAGAAGGAAAAAGAAAAATATCGGATGGTTTCACTTATAGGAGGAATGCAGGGGAACCAAATAAGACATCAGGGGAAAAAATAGTAACAATATAAAACACAACAAAACAAAACAATAACAGACAATTATAAACCAGAGATATCCTACAGGGGAAGAGGGGAGAGAGGGCTCAGAGGGAGGGAGGAGCACAGGGGACTGTGGCGATGATGCACGGGTGAATTGTGAAGGAAATTCCATGGGGACTACACCTGAGTGGGGGGTAAGCAAACATTGTTTAAAAATGAACAATGATGTAAAATATATATAAAGAAAAAAATAAAAACATCTGTAGCAAAAAACAAAAAAGGCCAGAATGTAAGTTATTTATATAGAAAACTTAAGATTATACTAGGTTTTTCTAAAATTAATACTTGGGATTTTTTTCTTAGTAGATTTCCTAAGATTTTATGACCTAAAATTAAAACTTATACACAGGGCCTCCCTAGTGGCAAAAGGAGTTAAGCAGTGCAATATGAAGCTGTCCGCAGCCTCTGCAGCACGAGTTCGAAACCCAGCCAGCCCAGGGAGCAACCCACATGGCACAGCAGACCCTTCCTGTCCCACCCACTGCTCCCCTCAGCAGTGTATTTCAGTGAGTCTGCCTGTTCTGCTCCCTGCTCTGTCTCTAGTGAATCCTCTCACCCTGCCACACCTCTGCCTACACCCCAGTTCTTCTAAGCAAAAATAAATGTTTTTCAAAAAAACTTGTACACAATATTAAGCAACTTTCAGACATTCTTACTGCAAGCAAAAATCAGAGATCGAACTATTGGAGGAGAATAATATAATTCTATACAAACTTGTTTTGGTCTACTGTTTGATCCAGATATAATAGTATTGAAATTTATGGATTCTAGCCCCAGTTTTAAGCATAACTTTATCAGAAAATGTATGCTTCTTAAAATCTATTCCAACCAAGACCTGTCAAGAATAGTAATCTTGGGCCTCCCCAGTGGTGCAGAGGGTTGAGTACAGTCCTGTGAAGCTGTCTGCAGCCTCTGCAGCACGGGTTCAATTCCCAGCGGGCCGGGGAGATTCCCACATGGCGCAGCAGAACTCTCCTGTCACGTCCACTGCTCCCCTCAGCAGTGCTTTTGGTCCATCTGTCTATTCTGCTCCCCACTCTGTCTCTGGTGAATCCTCTCACCCTCCCAAGCTTCTGGCCTGTACCCCAGCTATTGTATAAATAAAAATAAAAATAAAAAAATCTTTAAAAAAAGAATAGCAATCTTATGCATTTCCTTCTATTTCCCTACAAACTTCATTGACATTAAAATGTGATGATGATGGGCCTCCCTGATGGCGCAAGGGGTTAAGCACCACACTATGAAGCAATCCACAGCCTCTGCAGCACGAGTTTGATCCCTGGCCTGCCAGGGAGCAACACACATGGCAAGGCAGACTTCTCCTGTCTCACCCGCTGCTCCCCTCAGCAGTGTATTTCAGTCAGTCTGCTTGTTCTGTTCCCCACTCTGTCTCTGGTGAATCCTGTCACCCCCTACATCTCTGGCCTATACCCCAGCTCTTGTATGCATAAATAAGTAAATCTTTAAAAAAAAATGTGATCATGAGGTAAACAAGATAGGAACTATATATGCAGGGAACAAAACACTAACAAAAACTGACTTCCAAAAAGTCAAGGTTATCCTGCACATCACCGTTAGTCTTTGGAAGGCCTTGGTAAGAATCATAAACATAGTCCCCAAACTAGTACATAAAATAACAGGCTATAAGAATGTCTCACCTTCTTCTCGTCTTAAATTCCGTTCAATGTTTGCTACACAGGAAGCACAAGTCATACCAGTGACCTGTATGTAACACTTAGACAAAGTCTTTGCCTCTTCTTTGTCATGAATTGGTGTCACCATTTTAGTATAACATTCATTAGTTGAGGTCAAAAGTGGCATTTCCAATGAAGGCTGAGCTATTACTACCAATGGCTCATTCATATCTGGTAGACAGAGAAAGAGTCTTTCCATTAGAATTATTCTCCAACTACATCTTTGTCATTCCACACAATCCACACCTCCAAGTACTATCAATCCAATCCTTTAAAATCAACGATACCTAGAGTTCTCAGCAATGCTATCTTTACACTTTGCAGGAAGTGACCTCTGATTTTGATACTATCTCGACTCCCAACCCTAGGTATACAGTGGTTTGTTAATAGATAACTATTTTATAACACATTTTTATCATCATGTTAACAATTTACATAGTGGCAGTAAAGAAATTTGATATACAACAAAAAGAAATTTTCAAAAGGACTGCAGTATGTCATTAAAAAAATCTTGTAGATATATATATATATATCTATATCCACACACACACACACACACACACACACACACACACACACACGAGAATATGCATAAGAAAACCTGAGAGGCTACACACCAAACTATTACAGTGGCTACTTCTGGGGAATGGGATTAAGACATGAATAGAATGACAGGCAGATGAACAAATTGTCTCTAAAGATACTAATATGGTATTTTTTTTAATTAAAATAACTTTGTGGGCAATGGAAAAGAGGCAAGGAATGAGTAAGTGGTAATCATTATGCACAGAGGATTATTTGGAGAATCTCTATGTAGAATGTTTATAGACTGTGGAAGAGTGGAAAGATCTTCAATAGCAGAAAATCTATTCTGCTTTAGTTTATCCATTGCAGTATTAATCACCTTACAAGAAGAGATTACTTATTCCCCATCACATCCATGCACCTGCAAGAGGGTGAAACTTTTCTACCCTCTTGCAGAGAAAAGAGGGAAAAGAGGTGCTGTGGAAATTTCCACTAACCTATCTAGCTTGTTTTTCTTTTCCCCTCTTGGGCAAAAAACTGGTTCATGTCTATTTAACTAGCCCATAGAGAAACTCCTGCAGACCAGAATGGGTTTTCAGGATGCTGAAGAAGGGAATCTTTTGAAGAAAGTTTAATAAAAATCTATTTCCCTAATGAATGACAGATTTCTCAAATCAGTATTATGCTTAAACTTTAATGTACATACAACCACATTGGGGATCTTGTTAAATGTGGATTGTGATTCAGTACATTTGGGTGGGATCTGAGATTCTGCATTTCCACCAAGCTTTCAGGTAATAGTAATACTGCCAGTTTGGGTACAGCAAAGGACAGATTATCAAAAGACTATATTTTCCAAGTTCTGAATTAGTCATTCTCTAGTCTCAAATTATTCACTTTAGAAAACTACATTTATCATTCAGATTAGAAGAGCATTATTAAGAACTCTATGTTAAAGAACTCTATGTTCTCTATAGACAAAATTTACAAAATAGTACTTTTGAAGAACTCAAAAAATAGGCTCATTTCCCAAAAGAAAAATGCTTTGGCTTTGAAAAAACATCATTTTAATCTAGCCAGGAGCTTACTTCATTCTCTCATAATTACCACTGAAGTTTAATTTTGAACTTGGACACGGAAGAAAGAATTGTACTACCAATCACTTCAGGGCTTGTTCCAAAGAAATTTAGTTATTTTAGGTAGAAAGGCAACCCAGAATACCATCTGCAATGATCACAGTCTAAAAATACAGTATTAAAGTAGTCCTTGTTAGTTACCGTGGCATGACCTCTCATCAAAGATCCATAAAATTATGACCTTTACCCCAGTGAGTATAATAGGCAGAAGAGCAAAAGTTTCCATCTTTAAGAGACAGTACTGGTGTTAAAAAGTGATGAGTTAAACAGCTTTTTTTCTTTAAATTAGCCTTTCCATAGGCAACACTACTTATGTTTAAATGAATTCAAAGGGAAGGTGAACTTTCCTAAGCTTGAGGCAACAATCAGAAATGATTTCAAAAATTTCTAGAAAGAGTCTGATCCTCAAAACTGGTAAGTTCAATATCTGATACAATATGTGAAGAACAAATATATGAATACAAAATGTCTTAAAAACAATTAAAATATCATGTCTACAACTTACTCTGAAATGATTCAGGAAAAGTTATGTGTGTCTGTGCAGGTATGTATAAGTGGGCATCAATAAAAAGAATGATAAAACAAATGTAAAATATTAACTGGGTAACCTGCATGAAATATATAAACAGGAATTCTTTGTACTGTTCTTGCAGCTTTTCTCTAAGTTTTAAATTAACAATTAAAAAGTCACAAAAAAGAAAATAAGTTAAGCATTTTTTTCTAGAATTGATTAATGAAGACAAGTTCACATGCTATATGTCCTAAGAGAATGAGATTGATGGTCATGATAAAAAACATCTCCCATTTTTATCTCCTCTAACATTTTCTACCTCCTCTAACATTTATGAACATTTATGACAAGCAAATGAAATGTGTCATCTCTCTCTGTCTGGGAATGTTGTAGTAGTAGATTATGAGATCTGCATCTACACAGATAGTGATGTTCAGAAAATGGGTAGCCACAACACTGGTAGAATCTTAAAATTCTAATCTCTAGCAGAAACAAAGGATGCGGTCATTTCATTACCTTTTATTACAATAATATGGACCACCATCATTGCAAGTCAATCAACTCTTTTATGGGTGACATTCACTGTGTAAAGCTTCTTGGTTGTTTTTTTTTTTTTAGCTATTCGTCATGGCCATCAATATGTTCGTTATGGACCCTAACAATACATGTGAGGCACATAACAGCTTCCTCAGAATGATTTGTTAAATAACCCATTCCTGAGGCCCTTGACAGTAATAAACTGAGGCAAAAACCATTGTTAAAAATTACTGAACATGCTGCATTCATGGATCCTGCGGACTAGGTAGATACTAGACTAGATGATACTCTTGAACTATTCAAGATAGGACTATTCAAGATAGTACTCTTGAATTCCACTTAATAGTCTGATCAAAATTTTTCCTATTGCCTGAGTACATCCTTAGAGCCACCTAAGGTAAACAGAAAGTTGCTTTTGCTCTACTCACTTATATATAAACCAAACTTTGCAAAAATACAGACCTAAGGGAAGAAGACAAATTATATTGTTGAGTCCAGTCTGAAAGCCTGTGGGGTGCTTACTTATGATAAAATGACAGATGGCAGATTTGATTGTGAAAAAATATTTCAGTTTTATACCATATGTGATATAAGCTGATATGAGTTGGAATTCTACAGATAAGAGGCATTAGGATTATCACAGTATAACTAACTTGTTTAACTGATATTGAAATAACCTAACTTATTTATATAGTATCCATCATTGACAAATATAATTCATTATGTATGCCAAAGTGTTTTAATTTAATAGAAACTGAGGAATAATACAACTTTATGAATTAGTAAAATGTGTATCAGAATAATTTCAAAATTTTTCATTTTGAAAATTTAAAAAGATTGTAGGCAATGTTAGACATGACAAGATTTTGCTGAAACTAATTCTAGTCATTTTTATGGCTACCTGATAAATTTCACTTCCAATATTTCCAATTTATATTTAAAATTGTGCTTCTGGTTTCATAACCTTTCCTTGTACAATTACAAACTTCCTATTCTATACTAGAGGCTCTTTAACATTTTAGCATATTATGTGAATTTTTTATTTTTTTTAAAGATTTATTTATTCATACAAGCACTGGGTACAGTTAGAAGCGCGGGAGGGTGAGAGAATTCACCAGAGCAGGGAACAGAACAGGCAGACTGACGAAGTACACTGCTGAGGGGAGCAGCGGGCGCGGCAAGAGAGGTCTGCGCGCCATGTAGGACCCTCGCCAGTGGCTGGGGATCGAACCGACGTTGCAGAGGCTGTGGGCAGCTTCGCAACCCAGCACTCAACCGCTGCACCACCGGGGAGGCCCTATATGAATTTTTTAATAAAAAGTTGTGTATCTCTTTTTTAGAGTATAAGAATCTTGGTCTTTTGACATATCTTTATTAAAACGTAAATTCTAGGTAGGACTGTAAAATGGTGTAGCCACTTTGGAAAAAAGTTTGGCAGTACCTGGTAAAGTTAAACATATTTACTATATGACCTAGAAATTCCAGTCCTAGGTATAGATCCAGAAGTGGTACACATTCATGCAAAAACTTGTATACAAACTGTCATAGTAGCATTATTCATAATAGCCAAAGAGCAGAAACAAGCCAAATTTCTATAAACTAATAATTGAGGAACAAGATGTTGTTTATGTTCCATACATACAATGGAACACCATTTATTCATCAATAAATAGGAATGAAGTATTGATACATGTTATGGACATGGACGAACATTTGTGTATCCTGAAAACATGCTAAGTGAAAGAAGTTAGACACAAAAGGACACTTATTGCATGGTTTCACTTATATGGTACCTGGAGTTGTCAAATTCATAGGGAGAAATAAAACAGTGGATGACAAGGAGAGGGGAAGAGGAAATGGGGAGTAACTGCTAATGGCGATCTTTTGGGAGTGATGAAAAAGTTCTATAATTAGAGATGATGGCTGCAAAACCCTGGAAATACTACAGAATTATGTATTTTCCAAGGGTAAATTTTAAAGTATGTGAACTATATTTTGACTTTAAAACAGTGAGAGGGCCTCCCTGGCGGCACAAGGGGTTAAGCACTGCACTGTGAAGCAATCCATAGCCTCTGCAGCAGGAGTTCATTCCCTGGTCGGCCAGGGAGCAACCCACATGGCAAGGCAGACCTCTCCTGTCTCGCCTGCTGCTCCCCTCAGCAGTATATTTCAGTCAGTCTGCCTGTTCTGTTCCCCAGTCTGTCTCTGGTGAATCCTGTCACCCCCTACATCTCTGGCCTGTACCCTAGCTCTTGTATGCTTAAAAAAATAAAAGTGCTATCAACTATAGTTTAAAAAATAAAATAAAATAAAACAGTGAGAATTCATTTGTCATGAAAATGAAAATTAAGAAATTTTTGTAAGCTTCTTTCATTGTTATTTATCATAATAGTTTGAGCAGGTGTTTAATTATTTTTATCATTCCTAGTTTTAGTGAGCTTGAAATGGAATGTTATTATTTGATATCCTTAGTGATGATCAAAATAGCAAAAATTAATGACATTGTCTGGAAATTAGTTATACGGCTTTTCTAATATTAACAAAAAAATTTCATTAGGACATTTTCAGTTAATTCAAGGGAAGGTTCGATTCTAGTTCAAAACAAGTAGACATAGGCAAAGTCTACTGGATATATACTATTTTTGTTCCAGTTTGAACTGTCATCAAATAGGAAAACTCTGGGCCAGTTCTAGAGTCAGTTTAAATTTAAATCTCTAAATTTAAAAACTATGCTTAAAATTCTATTACTTTTTCTACTTATTTTCTTTTAAAATTAACATTCATTTCTTCCATTGTATATACATACATATATACACACATACTTGACACAAAAAACTTAAAATACATAGGAAAGTACAGTAGAAACAAACAGCACTTCTATCCTACTAACCACCAACAAACTGTTAAATTTCAGTTCATGTTCTATTAGGAATTTTATTTACTCATATAAATAAATAACATATACATGGTATAAATCCTTAAACACACATAAATGTTTAAATTTTGATCATAGAGAATATACAACTTTTCAGCTTGTTTTTCACTTAACAAAATATCTCACTTTTCTATGCCATTAAGTATCTTTAATAGCATTATTTTGTGTGTGTGGCTTCAAACATTTCATCACATGGCTTTATCATGATTTAATAATGTTTCTAATTTTAAAAACCTTACACATATTATGCAAACATCCTTATGCATCCTTGCATAAATTGCTGACTAAAATTTCCATAGGTCTTACTTACAAAAAGTGAAACTGCAGTGCCTATTACCCATTTGTCATTGATAAAAGCCAAAATGGAGATAAAAGAACATTATAGGGATCAAAGGAAAAAAGTGATAATTACCTGAGAAGGAAGCATCAAATCCCATGTCTTCTATTGCTTCTCTCAAGGTTTCTGGAGAAGTTAGTAAAGGATCATACTCAACAGTCCCATTGCTATTTGCAAGGGAAACTCGTATGGATTTTACACCTGTCTTTTTTGATATGATACCCTCAATAGACTGCACACAAGAATTACAAGTCATGCCATCAATGTTTATCACAGTTTCTTGAGTCAGAGGTTGGCTAACTATGTTCAAAGGAATCTTCTGAAGAGATGAACTAAAGGGAGAGTTTGAGGTACTCTCAACTTCACTTGTAATATTAACTCTATATTGCCCTGGTGATACAGCCTCTATTGCTTTTCTCAGAGTTTCTGGAGTGACTGAGCTTGCATTATACTTTACTATGGCTGACTTATTCTCTAAGGAAACTACTATACTGCTCACATATTGTAGTGTTGATAAAGCACTTTCAATATTTGACACACATGATTTACAATGCATGCCCTCAATGATGAAAGTGATTTGTGAATCATTGATGTATGATGGGCTCTTATGCTGTGATCCTTCTGAGGATTTGACTGGTGTGTTCTTTAGACGTTCTATATCAATAGCTCCTAATTTGAGGTACTTGGGCTGTTTTTTGATGAATGCTGGAAAACCTGCAGCTTCAATCTGCTTTCTTATTTCCTCTACTGTAATAAGATGAGGTTGATATACGATAGTAGCTTCTTGGTTGTCCAGGGAGACTAGTCATAAAGAGAAAAATAATTATTTAATCCAATTATTCCTGGGGCATTTCACAAAACATTTTGTAGACCAAATCAATACTACATATAATTGTTTGTCTCTGATTCTTTTCATTAAATTTAAAATAATTATGTTCTTTTCAGAGAATGTTACGCTAGGAAAAAAGTAAAAGATAAGACAACTATATCTAAGGTCTCCAAGTTTTGCATGCTTGAAAAGTACTTTAGAGGTAAAGAGGACCTCAGGCATGTTAAGAACACTGAATTCCATAAATTGTTACCCTAGTTACCTTTTCTGCTAGTTCAACACACATGTAACCTTTCATTATAATCATTAACTTTAGTGACACTAATCTTGGGAGTATGCTGTCCTCAAATTTAAGTGAAGCAATAAGCATTCTAGTCCCAAAGATTCAAAACCCATGCTCAAGAAGAAAGCAAAAGGTTAAAAGGTGAGGTCCTCCCTGGGGGCACAGTGGTTTAAATCTCAGGGCTATCAAGCTATTGCTATGCCACCATGGCATGAGCTCGATCCCCTGCCAGGGAGCTGACCCACATGGCACAGCAGACCTCTCTTGTATTGCCCACTGCTCCCCTCAGCAGTATATTTCAGTAGATCTGCCTGTTTTGCTCCCCACTCTGTCTCTGGAGAATCCTCTCACCATACCCCACCCCCGGACCTCTGGCCTAGACCCCAATTCTTGTATTCATAAATAAATAAATCTTTTTTAAAAAGTTAAAAGGTCAAAACAACAAAACCTAATCCTTACGAAACAATCAAACAGGGGCCACCCTGGTGGTGCAAGGGGTTAAGATGCAGCACTATGAAGCTATCCGCAGCCACTGTAGCACGAGTTCAATCCCTGGCCAGAGAGCTACCCATATGGCACAGCAGACCTCTCCTGACTAGGCCGCTGCTCCCCTCAGCAGTGTATTTCAGTCAATCTGCCTGTTCTTGTTCCCCACTCTATCTCTGGTGAATCCTCTCATCTCCACACCTCTGGCTTGTACCCCAGTTCTAGTATGCATAAATAAATAAATCTTTAAAAAACAATCAAACAAATAACACCAGATATATTTACCTTTAATTCGTTGAACACCTTGCAGTTTCCCAATTTTTCCTTCAATGGTGTTAGTGCATGAATGACAGGTCATCCCTTCCACTTTCATCTTCAGCATGACTTCACCTGCTTGAGCCATACTGTAATCTTCACAAGTTCCTGACTTTTTCTCCAGAGTTCCAATATCCAAACTGAGATCTGGAACTAGTTCTACTATCTGATTAACATTTATTATAGACGGAAT